GATTAGGACAGGAGGCTCCTGATCACATACATCACTGGGGGGGGGGATGAAGCACCCACTGTAGTGTCACTGTTGGCTGATTTGTAAGATTACCATGCCAGCTGAGGACCAAGGGACTAAAAGCCTGGATGTAGCAATAGAGAGTCCTCAAGTGCAAGGACTGGAGACACGAGGACAAGGTAGTTGAATTTTTTTCTTTAAAGTTAAAAATAAAATAAAAAAGGTAAGAAAACTTTGGAATAAAATAGTGTAAAATGTTCAATTTCGCCTAAAACAAGTGTTGCCCACGTTTCAGGCCAGAAGGTTCCTAATACTCTGCATATAACAAACTTATCCGAAAATCAGTCACTGAATTTTCCTCAGTAATTTTAAATACTAGTGACACCTTTCACCTCATTGTTCTTTTATTCATGTTTTCTCACTTCTTTCAGATGATGGGAAATGCCCCCTGAGCCCTCACAGGTAAGATGGGAGTGTTCTGTGCAAGAACAAATGTCCGTTTGTCTTTCTAACGTGTTTCATGGGGGAACATGTGCAATGTTTCCCCCTCTCTGTGACTTATCGTCTGCCATATCCTTCCTGTCCTGAGAAAAAGCGTGTGGGTAATATATGTCAGCTAAACATGGTATTTTAAATATCAATAGTTATGGATTTTCTGGCTCTGGAGTTGCCCCTCTGCTTTGTAGGGAGTCTTTCTCTCTGAGGGCTAGCTGTGCACGCACATGTCTTTACCTCCCTGGTTAAAAGCAATAGATACCCTCATTATAGTATAAAAAAGAAATCAAGTGGGAAGTGATTTATAAGAGAAACCAAATGCTAAAGCTTGGGTGTTACACTAGTAAACGCTTGAAGGCCATTGAAAGTTTGTAAACTTCAGTAGAATCTCCATGATCTCAGGAAGAGACAGTAGGTAGGCTGTCTCCTGGGAAATACTGTTATTAGTTCAATTCACAGGGCAATGACTTTCATCTTAAAAGATGACAAAACACACTTAATATTTTCATGTGAAGCCATTAAGTTCCAGGCAGTCTTTAATCCTGAATAGTGACATTCCAAAGCCACGTGGGATCTGAGACAATTCTTTTCTATCCTGTGTTTTTGGACATGTAGTATCCCTAACCTCTGCCCACTCCACATCCTTCCTCGTCATCACCATGAAAATCCAAAAACTACCCCTAGGGGGCAGTGCTATCATTCTGTGGAAACCCTTGCTCAACTATCCATTATCAAGATAGAGAACTTTGTAACTATTTCTTCTTTTCAAGAAGAGGGTGCAAACTCTTATAGGATAAATCAAGTTTTCTGCACAGAAACCAACAGCCACATACCGTGGGTAGGGCTGGGGATAGGGCCTGGTGGTACAGCATTTGTTTAGTATGCATAAGGCCCTGGGCTCCATTCCCAGTGCCATTAAAAAGTGTGAGTGCGGAGTGCAAGTCAAATTACCCAGAGCTCTGAGTGGGACCTTCAAAGTTCCTTTCCCATTTACTTTTCTTACAAAAATAGACAGAATTCCAGGGTAGGTAGCAATCCATTGTTTCTAGAGATACTATGAGCTGGCTGTTTGGGGAAGTAATTTCATGGTAGATCATCCTCGTGTTTCTGTTTTTCAGCCACCTAGGAACGTACGGAGTCTTCACTAATGCTGCGTTTGACCCAACCCCTTGAGGTGAGTTCCCTATGAGGATATTTTTGAAGAAGACTAAAAACAGTAAGGGAAAGGACAATAATATAAAGTTTCAATTCTCTCTATATCATCGTGTATTAACTTTTAAGCTTGTATTAAAATGTCAAGCCATGACAGAAACCACATTGGCAACAAGTGTATATGACAATGGAAGGACAATAGAGCTTACCCAGGGGGTTCCTTTACTTCCAAGGAAGATAAAAGGTTGCAGCAGCACATAGCTTTTTCCAGGGTGTGTGAGATTGCATTATTGGCAGAGGAGTGGTATTGACAGAGTGAGCTTGCCTTAAAAATCCCCTCTGCGACTTGCAGGAAAACTGAAATCGTCTGAAACCATTTTTCCAAACAGTGCAATGAAAAGTCCCCTTTCCTAAGAGAAGCAGTCTGCTGGTAGTGTAGAACCTGGAAAGAGGCAACTGTCTTGATCATCGGGGGATAGGCGTGCTGAAAGATTCCCTTGTTTTCTTTTGTTTTCAGAGTTCTGGTCTCCCGTCTCCTCCTTCAGTCTCTCAGGACTCTGCATGCAGATGCCACACTTCCTGACTTTAACTCTACTGCATTTGCGGCCGGTTTTCTGTAAATGATTGGATGGGAATCCAGTGAACGGACTGTGTACATTCCCACCTCTCCACCCACCCCTTCCTGCTCCGCCTCTCACCTTCCTCTAGCACAGACAGCCACAGAAACAGGAGCAAATGTTTCTGCTGTGGTCTGTGGCTTGGACCTTGCTTCTACTGAAAACGTCCAAGGCCCTGGGGCATCTGACTCACCAGGAGACCGGACTCTGGAGAGCTGAAGATCTGCTTTCTCTTGGGATTGAAGAGTGGCACTCCAAGATTCAAGAGAAACCTCTAGCTTAAGGGAGAGGCTGCTGTAAGATCTCCTGGACCTTCCGAGTTTCCTTCTATGAGGTTGTTTATACCTCTGCTGCTGACATTTTCACAGAAACTTCCAGATGGTACCAGAGGCCACAGGAGACCAAGAACAGAGCCAGGATGCCACATCCTACTGAAGACCCTTCCCTCCACCAAAGCACCCAAAGGCCATTGTTAGAATATGTAATTAGATTCCCCCAAACGCCATGTTTTGTTCACTAAGGTCTACGTGTCTCACGTTGTCTACCGCCAATTTGGTCACAGTTACAGCCATCTAAATGACAACTAGACCCTCCAGTGAGCCAGGAAAGATATGTCATAAGTTCCCTGTCTGCAGAGAAAAAAGTTGGACAGAAAAGGTCTTCATTGTATTACTGTTCTGCAGGAAAGAACAGATATGTTTTATATGTAATTTAATTCACATATTTAATAAATAAGTCACTGAAAATTATACATGACTTGTCTCTAATTGATGCACACATCTGGAAATCAAACAATGCAGTTGCCTTGCTGTGGTGTAATGAAATTCAATGACCACCATGTAGACTGGCTACACATAAGCCGATGGGCAAGCAAAAGCAGTAATGCCATCCTTTGAAAAGTTACAGTGATTTTGAAAAAGAAGGAAAGAAAGAAGAAAAGAAAATAATTTAGGTACTTGCTATTTTAAATTTTCTCAGATACATTGTCAACAGTATCGTGTGTGTGTGTGTGTGTGTGTGTGTGTGTGTATTTTAATATTTCTCAGATATAGTGTATAGTGTATAGTGTGTGTGTGTGTGTGTGTGTGTGTGTGTGTGTGTGTGTGTGTGTGTAAGAGAGATAGATACAGACACTAGGCTAGGTCAACCCTGTCTCCCTATGAAGAATTTGCATTTTAAATTACCCTGAGGATTCTGTTAAAAATACCCTGAGGATTCTGGCAACATTGGGACCCCAAGAATTGTAAATCGGGGGTGCAAGGTATTGTTCCTGCTCTTGAATAGATTCTAATGTAGCTGTGGGTACAAGAGAACCCTGAAAAACTAATAGAGGATAATCGAAAGGATCGTATAATCTGAATAGATTAAGTTTATAAAACAGAGACATCAGCTTGAACCAGAATCAGAGACAAAGGTAGAACTCCTGACTTTAAAGAAGGGGAAAGCAGAGAGGGGAGAAAATGGGTGTGGGCACTCCTTTTACTATAGTTAGATATGCATGTGTCTGTTAATTAATTTTTGGTATAGGACTCACTGTGTAGCTTAGGCCGATCTCAAGCCACAGCCTCACATTCTCCTGCTTCAGCCGCTTGTGTGTTGGGATTGCAGGCCCGTGCCATCATGCCTTACTTGAGAAGGGGCATTCTAAATTGACTGAATAATATGAGCAAGGGAATAAATGCAAGAACAGGGAGGGGACACCATCGAGGAGCCTGGGTGATGCCAGATCACAATTTACCGAATGTGCTAGAAGCATAAAACATGGATAGAAACAGAGTTCTAGGCAACTCGGAACAAGTCATTGTGCTGATTCAGATATTATGCTTCTCAGCTTCTCCACCTACAGAAAAAATAAAATCTACAACAATATGCAAAGCATCGTTCAAAACATGGCCCCATGGAAGAGGGGAGCATAAGCATAGACTCATAGGCTGCAGCCGCCTGGACACTGGGGACCATACAGTTTACAACATTCCCTCCCCCCCACAATAATTGCATCAAGGAAAACTAGAATTGCCATCCTTACTTTGCAGATGTCAAAAGTACTCCAGAGATAGAAAGTAACTGGCCCAAGACCACTCAACTACCAACTATCTCAAATGAGGTCTCTTAAGTCCTGTTCTCTGCTACACTGGAGCTGGTGCCAAGCCCTTACCAGGTGGTGTGTACCTTGGTAGAAGTTATTGAAGCAATCTAGAAGCTAAGGTGTTGGTGGACTTGTCATCTGGCCATTTTCTGTGCCTAGTAACCACAACAGTGTTATTTTTGCTGGGCTCCAAAGATGGGTGTTGGATCTTAGTGAGGCTTGCAGAAACCGGCAGGCAAGCCTAAACTTTGACCCTTCCTCCCTGCCCCACGCCCTCCCCTGCAGGACAAGTGGGATTGCTGCTCTCACCTGTGGTGAAGAGCGGGAATGCTGCTTTGTGATGGGGCAAACATTCTTGGGCACAGTTCCTGTGGCACAGCCTCCAGCAGGGTTGCCCTTTCTTTCCTTGTAATACACAGTCCCTAGTCTGGTTCCCTAATAAATGCCTCTGACCACAGGGGGGAGTGACCTCAACAAACCCATGCCTACATGAGGCACAGTCCGGGAAGGGAGGTAGGGTGAGCCAGCCCCCACAGGGGACAGGGACACTGCTTCCTGCAGCCTCAAAGTCTTCCAGGGAGCCGCGACAACGTCAGCGCACAGCAGCGGAGACAGAGAACTGAGTGGCACTGCGCCGCAGGACAAGGGCCATGCTCCCAGTCTGCCGGCGCCTCTGCATCCTGGTGGTCTTGGGCACCAGCTGGGCGGGCTGGGGCAGCCACCCGGCCGAGGCAGCGCGGGTAAGGCAGTTCTACGTGGCTGCTCAGGGCATCCTCTGGAACTACCATCCTGAGCACACAGACCCAAGGTAATTCAGGGTGGAGTCCAAGTGGATTTCTCCAGAAGAAAATCCACCGTAATTGCAAGTGTTGTTTTGTTTTGTTTTTTGTTTTTTATTTCGGGGCGGTGGGGAGGGGAGACAAAGAGAGGGAGAGAGAAAAAGACAGACAGAGATGGACAGGAAGACAGACACAGAGAGACAGAATAGAGACAGAGACACAGAAAGAGACAGAAACACAGAGACACAGAGAGAACACAATTAAAGTGTAATAATGGTGGGTGCTAATTTTTGCCTCCACTTATAACAATTTACCATTGCGAGGATGTGGAAATTTTCCAGTGTAAATAGTTAGCTATGGCTAACCATCTTTTTCACTCCCCCTGCCCAATACTGTTTGTTCCCACTTTGCTAGTTTAGTCTACTGATGGATTGAAATGACCAGCCTCCTGAGCCTTACACCTTCCTGAAAGTCTGGTTCCAGCCTTTTAACAGTCTGCTTAAAATAAAAAAAAAATGGAACTTGTAGTTACATAACATTTATTCCTTGTAGACACAGGCTCTAAAGAGAAAGCTGCCCACCGTGTACTTCATTGTGAGGAGATAATTTAGTGACTCTTGCCTTAATTTTGTTACCTTCCTATAAATGACTTTCAAAATGTTGGTTCATGGAAAGAGGACACACTTGTATTTTTATCTTTTCTTGACTTATTCCTGGTTACCTAAGTGGCTTCATTTTTATTTTTCTTTCCCCTTGGATGACTTCCTGGAATATGGCTTATCCTGGATACTTTGGTCTGCTCTGAATATTACCCATGTTAGTGACCAGGTTAAGAAGGCCATTCAAAGATGTGTGTTAACTATGAGGAGATTTAAATAATCTCAACCCTATCTTTGAGTTGCAAAATACATTTTGCTAACTGGAAAGTTAAATGAAAGCCTTCCTGAAGTTAACCAACTCATAGATGTACTCAGCATTCATAGTTACTGTTTCTATTTGAAATGGTAAGCCTAGTAGTCTTCTAGTTGACTCATTTTTTTCCCTTTTAGTTGACATCAAAGTTTAAGCGATTGTGAAAGATGTGTTCCTCTTTTACAATTGCAAAACCAAAGCAATCAGCCAAAAAAATAATGTAATATTTTGAAAGCAATGTGTAACATTTTAGTATGAATGCATAATAAGCCTTTAATTTTTGTTGTTGTTGTAACCAGAACTATTTGGGATGGCATTACAGTCTATCTTAGTATTATGCTAATAAATATCACATTAAAATGATTTCAGGTATTGCATTTTTAGGGTGATCATCTAAGCTGTACCCACACTCTTAGGAAACTGCCATTAATGGAACACTCCCCTCACACACACACACCAAAAATGACATTATTTCCAGCGCCAATTTTCCTGCTTTTGGGTAGACAGACTTGGTGGCTGGTGTGTTCAGTATTCAGCCTGGCATAGGGCACAGGTAGGTGTAAGTCAGGGGACGCAAGGTTAGGGATGAAAAAAATTCATCATGTACAACATGAGGACTCTAGGTAACAACAGTGCATTACATGGGCAAATCTTCCTCTGGTAAAGGGAAATGGAAAATGGAAAAGAAAAATGGACAAGCTTGTTTGTCTTAGGGTTTCCACTGCTTCAGTGAAACACCCTGACCAAAAGGCAAGTTAGGGAGGAAAGGGTTTATGTGGGTTACACTTCAGCATTGCTATTCATCACCAAAGGAAGTCAGGACAGGAATTCAAACAGGGCAGGATTTCAGAGGCAGGAGCTGATGCAAAGGCCATGGATGGGAGCTGCTTACTGGCCTGCTTCCCCTAGGTTGCTTTCTTGTAGAACCCAGGACCGTCAACCTAGGAATGGCACGAGCCACCTTCCTAGTTGATACTAATTGAGAAAATGTCTTACAGCTGGATCTCATTTGCTCAGCTGAGGCTCCTTCCTCTCTGATGACTCTAGCTTGTGTCAAATTGACATATACAACCAGCCAGCACACTGCTGGTAGGGAAAACTACTAGAGGAAGCTCTTCCTTCAGTGTCTCCATCACTCCTGTGAAATATGGTACCGTAGTTATCAAGATGCAGAACCTCATTTGCTTGCCCTAGAAATAGAAAATGGAACAGAAGCATGCTGGGTCCAGATAAAGCTGAGGAAATGGTTTAACCCTGGATCTTGGCTCTGCTGTTAATCATCTACATCTTCCTAAGAAGTAACTTAATCGTTTCAGTGCAAGTTTTTGGCTTGTTCCCAATACAGATCTCAGAGTTTTACCCTTTTGCTGTCTCCGTTCTCTCAACTAGAAACAGGCTCCAATAAATGGACACCAATTTACCATTTTTCCCATTGGTTCAAAATTGTATCATGAAAGCAGAAAAATTTTTAATTACATCTAATTAATAGATTGATAAATGGTTCAAATATTTACTTATCAGAGACTCACATTTTTAACTTAGACCTGAAGTTTGAGTTTGAACTATGAGCTTATCTTCCTTTTTTTGTTTGTTTGTTTGTTTTTGTTTTGTTTTGTTTTCTGAGACAGAGTTTCTCTATATTGCTTTGGAGCCTGTTCTGGAACTCTCTCTCTATAGAACAGGCTGGCTTCGAACTCACAGAGATCAGCCTGTCTCTGCCTCCCCAGTGCTGGGATTAAAGGAGTGCACCACCAACACCTGGCTGAGCTTATCATCCTTAATAGAAAAATTGATTCTGATAAAGCAGAAACAGAGCAAAATCAGGCTTATGGAAGATTATAATTGATGATGATTATTTCATTTATTTCACTTGATATTCCAATTTATAAAACCTTGGGCTTTGGAAAGACAATAAAATATAGTTATTTTACTTTTATATACAAAATCTGGGCACATAGACACCTCTTTTTCTGGAATGGGAATAGATATCACATATGGCTTTCAAATTAGATTTTGTATTTTATTTTTAGTTTGAATTCTAAACCTTCCTTCAAGAAAATTGTTTACAGAGAATATGAGCCACATTTTAAGAAAGAAAAGCCGCGATCTAGCATCTCAGGTAAGTCTGAAATATATTTTTTAAATTATTTTTTGTATTGGGGTTTGAACATACAGTTTAATGCATGCTAGAAAAAAAAAAAACTCTACCACCGATCTAAATCTCAGTCTACATTTAAATTTTTATTCTGAGACAAGGTCTCACTAAGTTGGCTACCCAAGCTTTGAACTTGGTCTATGGCCCAGGAAGACTGTGAATTGTGATATTTTGGCCTCAGCTTCTCAAGTAGCTGGGACACCAGACCCAGTTTGTATTTCTTTTGATTTTAAATATAATTTTTCATGGATAGTATTGTATTCTTTATACTTGAAATATCCACTCTGGACTGGCTAGATAGCTCAGTGGCTAGAGATACTCGGTGCCAAGCCGGAAGACACCAGTTCCATCCTCAGAACTCACATGGTAGAAGGAGAGAACTGAGTCTCTCAAGTTGGCCTCAGATCTCCACACATGCAACATCGAATGAGCTCACGAATCACACACACATACCAAAATAAGTAAGTGTAAAAACATTTAAATATCCACTTAGTTATCTTCTGTTAATATGTATGATGTTCCTACAAGATTCCAGCTGTATAATATGTATTCCCAGATGCAGTGAGAATGTGGGGTTTCTTGTTCATAGTATTGAGAATTTCAGAGACAGTAAAATTTAAACCAAACAGGGGTTTTTCTGAACATAGGGCCCTGTGGAATGGAACAGGTCACATGCCCAAGCCAGCCATGTTTTTAACCTTGGTCAAGAAAGCCAAACAAAACATTTCAGTGTTTGAATTTGTATTTATTCATCTAACAACCCACAGCCGGGCGCCTTCTGTGGGCTTGACATTGAATTAGGCATTATGATTACAAGAGTTAGACAACATGAACTCCTGGGGCTTGGGATCTGTTTGTATAGGCACAGATGCACTCCAAGAGGATGAACTTGTCATTGTTCCTGTCCAGCTTCCTATATTCGTTCAAAGGAGCTATGTATGTTTGATCCTTTGCCTCAAGCTTTCCGATAGCTATGGCATTTGAAGAAACATCTCTTCTATTTTTCTTTAGTGCTTCATTAATCAAAGACTGATTTATCAAGGGCTCTGGGATCTTAACTACAGAAACATACTTCATAGGAAATGTAGAGGCTTATCCAGGCAGAATGTCTTCTAGTTGGGCCCCTTATCCTCAATCCACCAACCCTTCCCCCATCCTGGTGAGCTTTAGCAAGCTCACTTTCTGCCTCTTCTGCCCACCCACCCCCTGCTATGCCCTGCCTCATCTTGTCTCCTTTTCCTCAGACTTGAGTATTTCCTCCAGTAAAAAACAACAAAGTCTTTTTCTGGTAAATCTTATCTAAAAAGGGGAAATATGTCTCCTTGACCCCCATGCCTTTTTCTTGTCTCTCCATTCCTTCCTCCCAATTCTCTGAGTGAGAAGTTGATGTCATTCCCCACATTCTCTCTTCTTCATCCCTTCCCTAAGCTGCTCCAGTGTGACTAACTCTGTCTCTGTCAATTGCTGCCTCTGAGATGGCAACACCATCATTTCCTTCTAGTTCTGTCACCATTTCTAAGCTGCTTGACACGCTCCCTTTTGGACCTCTTTGCCTTGTTTCCCTAGTGACACTTCCCCCGATTTTCCTCTGAGTTCCTTTACCATCCCTTCTCAAATTCCCCATGGTCTCTTCTTCTCTGAGGCTCCAAACTCAGTCACAGCAATGACTTTTACAGATAGCCACCTGGAAGCTACATGCTTTAGGACATTGCACAAATTTCTACCCTATCCTAGCATTAGGACTTTTTCTTTCTTTTTGTGTACTGCCGGCACCATGAACTTACGCTCACCTTTTAGAGATGCTGTGAGGACCAGACTGGTTAATGAATACAAAGTACTTAAATGCTTACACATGATAAGTACTTACTACAAGTTAGCTACATTGTTGTTATTGCTGCTGTAGTAGCTGTGAGCTATGCCTCCATTACAGTGTGCATATCATAATATTGTGAATATAGCAACACAAATGTGCTTTTGCTGGTTTTATATTCCTTGTGCATTATAATTTATATGTTGATTTGACTTTAGATAAATAAATTAAGTATTCTTTCCTTTTAAGGATCACAACCTAAGAATACCCCAGTTGAGAGTCTGGGGAATGTAAAGGTGGATTATGACTTCCAACAGTCAGCCATTAGAGATGTACGATTGTAGAATGTTATAGCACAGCGACAAGGAAGAATGATGCTGAAGAGTCTGCAGTGAGAAGAGAAAAAGAAAGGGGAGTTGGGAAGCCAAATGATGGGTGTTGATGGGAGTATAAAGATGCCTTGTAAAACAACAACAAAAAAGCAGAGCACATGAGGGTTCTCAACCTGTGGCTTGTGACCCTTTGGGGGGTTGAATGACCCTTTCTCAGGGTTGCCTATGACCATTCGAAAACCCAGCTATTTTCCATTCAAAACAGTAGTAAAACTACAGTTATGATGTTGTGGTTAGGGGTCACCACAACATGAGGAACTATAGTAAAGGGCCACAGCATTAGGAAGGTTGAGAAGCACTGGACTGGATAGACTCAGCGAGCTGTGTGATAGCTTTGTCCCAAGGGAAGTAGAGAGTCACTGAGATCATTTAAGTGGGAGAAAAGACAGACCCAGATTTGCACTTTAGTACTGGTTTCAATATTGGTCTATGACTGTGAATAAAGTGGAGTGGTGCACATGTATAAAAATGCCATAATGAATACCATCGCTCCCTATGCTAACTAAAAATTAATTAGAAAAAAAAAGATTGTTCTATCCAAATCTGGAAGATGGATTAGAGAATAGCCAGAGAAAGTGGAAATGTGGCTTTAGTGCCAGTCCAGGAAAAAAGGCAGTGGGAAAGCTAAGGTGGAGAAAATTAAACAGATTCCAAAGATACTTAGGAACTAAAAAAATCAACTAAACAGGTGGCTAATTGGATGGAAACAAGAGAAAGGGGATTATAATTGACTTCAAGGTTTCTGGGTTGAATAGTAGAATGGATAATGTGCTATTCAGCAAGGGAGAAATTTTAAGAGAAGAAGGAACCTTTTTTCAAGGATAATGAGGTCAGAAGGTTGAGGTGTCTGTTGAGTATCTACCTAGTGTCGTCAAAAAAGCAGGTGCATTTGAGTTTTGCTTTTAGGTGGGAGATCTGAGGCAGATAGATACAAATATTCAGGAGACATCATCACCAGGTTATACATGAAGATCTAAGGGAACATAGGATCAACCAAGGAAAACATAACTAGAAGAGGAGGCTTTGACAGAGCTCAAAGGAGCAACAGAGGACAAGGGATAAGCCAAGAAAGCAATGGTCACTGCAAAGCTTGAGAAAGTCTTCCTAGAGAGGGCAGAGGAGAGCAGAGAGTATGGTTCCCCAGAAGCAAAGCAAATGGCACCAAGGGCAGTGAATATTTGTAGGGGGAGCAATAAAACTCAGTTTCTGCTATAGTGGTGGGATGAAAACTTATGGCAGGACTTGGGGAGTAGATGGTGGGTAAAGAAATGGAACCACAAGGAAACTATGATTCTTCCTGAAATGTGGCTCTGACTGGGAAGGAGGCAGGGGCATTCTGGAAATGAATGAGAGGTTGAAGGACATTTGGGAGCATCACAAGAATGTAATATTTATTAATTCATTAGAAAAGCTACCTGGGGAAGAATTGATGGATCAAGACACAGAAGAAGCAGGAAGAGCTGGTATTAGAAGCTGCAGCTGGTTTTGGCCTTAGATAAAAAGGTTACTGTCTCACTGTGAGTCCTCGGATGCGGCATTAAGATCAGCTATAAAATTATTTTTGTGGTTGTGGGAAGGAAACTGGAGGATCACCTGTCCTCTCCTGCAGAGTCTATTTTCATATTCCAGGACAGAGTTTACTGTGTTCAATAGATTCATAAGAACTATTTAACTTGTGAGTAAATGGGAACATAGTCACTAGGCCAAGAAGAGAAGACAAGTGTTCAAAGCTGAATGCTATGTGGCTTTTGCCAGGTTCACCAAATATTGATGTCATTGCTAAGCAATGCATTGTGCTGAATAATGCCCAGTAACAGAAAGACTATGGCCACACTGGAGACTTTTGAACTGATAGAAGGAGGCACCAATAGTTTTTTCAAGAGGGAGACCACTGAGACAGACATCCTGCCAGATGAAGGCCTTTTGTAGTGATCTCCTGATAGAGCCTTGTTAGTCAGAAGTAGACCTTGAGAGTCGGTGAGAACAGCCTGGATCATATTTAAGCCCTTTCACATTAAATGTTAGCTTTCTCTCAGTGCCTGTTTATCATGGGACTTATTTAATGTGGGGGAACTGGAGACTGCAGCATCCATTTTTTGCAGCCCCTTCTTAAACTCCCAGTTCTGCTTAACTCTGAACCCTTGATTGGAAGAAGTGCTATTGCTTTCATCATTATATCCCAAGGATGGAGAACTGGTGAGAAAGAAAAGCCTCTGATCTGGCTCAGATCTGGACTTGAAGGCTAGTTAGCGCTGCCCAGATCTAGCTTGTGTTATTTGTACCTTTGGTGTGTTTCCTTTTCCAAACACTCAGTGGGTGTGACTCCAGCTGAGCCATGAACAAGTTGTGGTTCTTCACCTTTGTACAAGCCGAGGCTAGTCATTTGGGTTATATAGCCTGAAGGTGACATTTTGGTGAGGTTTGTGGACACCTAGACAGTTGGAGAGGCCAGATGCAGTTTCAGGAATCCAACCTGGGCTTCAAAGTTTTGAATCTCCACATGTTTCTATGAACTCCTTGTCCCCAAATGAGCTTTAATTGCTAACTGTAAGCTGTCTTCGTATGGGGTCATTCCTTGTTCAGCAGTCTGATTAGCTTATCCACTGCAGTCTTTCCAATTCTTCAACTGCAGGAGATTGACTACACACCAGGCAGTCTTCTCCAAGCCACAAGGTATATTGCACCTTCTCCCAACCTTCCTTCTCTCCCATCAAACCATCAGTGGAACAGAGCTTAGATTATGTGGCTGAGAGAGGAGGAAATCTCGGCCTTGAGTCTGCTACATGCACTAAGGTATTTGAGTCACAGTTATGAAAACATCCTTTAGCTGTACCTTAATTATAAAGAAGCAGGAAGGGAGTTTGAATAAACACCCAAACTATCAAAATGTCCATTGAAGTAAGAGGTTTTACTGGGTCATATATCCCAGGAAAGTTTTTCTTGGCATCTGGCATTTGTAACCATGTGACACCAACAAACAAATGACCATGCAAGAGAATCATGACACCAAAATACAGTGCCCACTGCGATCCTGCCATCAGTAAATACTGGACCGCTTGCAGTCTGAGCATGTTGTGCTGCCATAATGAGTCAGGGTGAAAGGTAACATTCAGAAGACAGGGCCAGCCAATGAGGGAGATGAAATCCAGAAAGAGGAAACCATCTGGCTTAGTCTGGGAAGGTTAGGGTCTTAACTGTTCCAAACAAAGAACTAGGGAGAGATTTTTCTTAGGAGCATCAAGACCTAGATTCTAGGCTCAGCAATGGGAGGGAGTCACTGATTGATCTTGGGTGAGCCAAGCCCCACTCTCCCACACTCCCTCCTCAGGCTTTGTTAACCATTTCTAAAATGAGACATGGAGAATGTGCTCTCCATGTTCCTGTCTGGAGCATACAGAAAAACAAACCAAAAAAGCTCCCAGCATAAAAACAACATAAATTCCAAGATAGGTGCTTCAACAAAAGGAAAAGGACAAGAGTGGCCAGAAAGATAGGGGCAAAGAAGGCAGGAACTAGATGACAGTGGCCAGAAAGATATGAGCAAAGAAGGCAGGAACTAGATGACAGTGGCCAGGAAGATAGGGGCAGAAAAGGCAGGGGAAGGATAAGAGTGAGTAGAAAGATGGGAACAGAGTAGGGAAATAAGGACCTCTGTTGAGCTGTGACAAATTACTGCACATTTAGTGCCTTGGAAAAGCATGAATCAGCCAGATGTCCTGGCACACAACTATAATTCCAGCATTGGGAGGCCAGGACAATAAGATCATGAGTACGACAAGGCAATCAGGCTACATGGCCTGACCCCTCCTCAAAACATGAGTTAGTTTTTTTCTTCTTCCATTAAAGTTATAGTTCTGGGTGTGTGGGTGATCAAAGTAGGGTTCACTAGGTTTAAATAGAGGAGTTGGCAGAGCTCTGTCCCTCCTAGAGGCGCAAGAGAAGTCACTGTCTCACTTTTTTCCATTAATTAGAGCTGCCTGGGTTTATTGGTGTCTCCCCCTTACTCCATCTTTAGAGTTGGCAGAGTGGTATCTTGTAATTCCTCCTCAAGCTCTTCTTGTAACCCTTTAGTGAGTACCCCTGTGGCTACATAAGACCTCTCAGGTAACCCAGAAAAATCTCTGACTCCTACAATTAACCATTAATTTGATGATATGTGCACAGTCCCTTTTACCACACAAGGCAGCACACTTCTGAATCTAGGCCTTATAACACGGAAGGGAAGGGGCATTGCCTGCCCACCACACACACCACACAGAACCATTGCATGGTATCTTCCATCCCACAGCATGTTGCTTTTGTCTACCCAGCTCCCGAGCAGAACCTTCCTGGCACCATGTCACCTTGCTGGTCCCCACCTCCTACTCCATAGTCAACCCACTCTAAAGCTCTGAAGTTTCATCTCCAGCACACATATCTAATATTTTCTTTACTGAAGACCTCCACAATGCCCTTAATCTTACCAATGTTCCTCCCAGACCTTCTTTCAGCCTCTATTCAACTTTCTCCCTGATCATTCTCAAGAAACAGACAGCATTTAAAATCTAAATCTGGGCCAAAGAGAAAGAGAGGAGGAGGGGGAAAGGAGGGAGAGATGGCGGGGGAGAGAGGGAGAGATAGTGTAAATGGAAAGTAACAAAAAAGAACAAAAAAATAGTAATCTAGGTCATATTGTATCTTGCTGAAAAACCCCAACAATCTCTGACTGTTATCAGATGAAACCCAAAATTCCAAATGTCCTACTCAGCCCTAAGTGGCTGGCCCAATATGATGCCAATATGATGTTACTTTCAACACCTTGCTCTCTTACCTACTAAGAGAAGGTGCTCTCTTACCTGCCTCAGTGGCCATCAAGAGCTCCTTGAGCAGGCCAAGTTTCCTAACTTGCCCAGCTCTTTGTTTCCCTGCCTTCACACCTCACAGAAAATATCACTTCCTCAGGAAAGTGCTTGTCAAGCCTGACCCTCACCCTCCTCACAAGGCTGGAACAGGCTTTTCTCTCTACAGCGCTCTCTACCAGAGTCTGTGCTTCTAGCTAGAGCTGCCTGTGTTTCTCCATGCGTTTCTCCCTCCCTCCATCTTCACAGTCAAGAGAATGACATCTTCTTTGATGTTATTAGAGTTTATAATTAAATATTTGTATGCTTACTTGTTAGAGTGTTTCTCTTAGTATCTTGTGAGCTCTAAGAAGTCAGAGAGTGTCTACTTCTCGTCCACATGTCACCAAAGCCATGTGTCACCACAGTCGGATGCCTAAGATGGTATGCAAGTGTGAAGTTCTGTGGAAAGAGGTACCTTAAAATTCAGTGCCTCGAGTAAGACAGATTTAAGTTTAAATCATAGCTTTGCCTTTGTTGGTTTTGTGATTTGGGGAATGGTATTTAATACTCTGAGGCTCACTTTCCTAGTATGTAATATGAAAATCTAATCAATGTCTTAAATTTTTATTATGAAGGTTAATATAAGGGCCTATAGTACTTACATATATTGCAGGAAAATAAGTGAAAGTCCCATCCTAATTATCACACTGCAAATGTAATCAACTGTAAATGATGCTGGCTGAACTTCATGGCCGTGTTATGACTTCCTTCTTCTGCTTCTAAGCCTCCCAGTGGGCAGAAACAAATCCTGTAATATTATGGCTGGCTTGGGCATGAGAGCAGCCATTGCTGCCACTTGACTGAACTGTAGTTAGAGTTGATGGGTGCCGGAATAATTTGTGAGCACATGTTAAAATGCAAAGTCACAAGCTGCACCTCCAGAGCCAAGGTCAAGGTGGTAACTGGAAATCTTTCTTTTGGTAAGACACCGGGTTAGTCTGAAACGGAGTCTTCAAATACTCCACTTTGGGAAATTGTGGCATATGAGTCTCCAGAACTCTGGCTATATATAAGCTTCCTGCTAGGAACCAGATGGAGCTGGCCCTGCAACCTCTCTGCTCCCATAATATCTTGTCCATCTAGAGTGTGTCTACATTCAAACTGTATGGTCCCCTGGGGGTCAAGGACTGTGTGGATCAAGACTCGGAGATGTGCCTGGCAATAGCAAGTAAAGCCTTGGTGTTGATGCCTGTGTCCCTGTCCTGCTTCCTGCTTCTTCCCTGACATGTTGACACATAGCATTACTTAGCCAGTGGCTCAGATCAAAAGAGCTTTGGGATCTTTCCTGACTTCTCATATATGCCACATCCCATCTTTTAGATAATCTTGTTAGCTTAACTTCCAAATGTGTCCAGAAAATCATCACTGCACTGCTACACACACGGCCTCAATGTATCACTATCTATTCCTTAAGCTACAGCTCTCTTTTCCATACACAGCAGCTGGCATGTTCTTTTTTCTAATGAGTATGATTTTTAAGACATGTTGAACCATGTCTATGCTATACGAAGTTCAGATGACTTGCTGTTCCATGTAGAAGAAATCCAAATTCTTACCATAGCCCATGGACCCTTCATCTCTCACACCTGCTCACTCATCGTTTCCCCTTGATACTGTAAAATCATTGCTGTGAGAACTGATACGAGGGCTTTCCTTAAATACATTAAGGTCACTTTTGCTTAAGGTCTCAGGGATCTGGGGATTTTTGAACTTGTGTAAGTACCAGAGAATGGTAGGATTTACTCCTTGATTGCATTCAGCTCTGTGGGGTGGGGGATGGGAGAGTGAAGAGTAAAATGTGAGAGAAGACACATAGCACTTGAGAGTGGGTAGGATCTGGGGCAAACAGTATCTCATATCTCGGGAATTGCGTTGGGTTAAGGCCAAGGATTTGCCATTGGCTGTTATTCAATGAGCCATGGTGGAGTTGATGGGACGACAGAGAGGCAAAGATCAGGATATGGTTTAAGTCAAGTTCAAGAGAAGCAAGCCAACTTGTAGTATGTGTTTATTGCTCAATGTTGCTCTTACTGGTTGTAGGTTTTAATTTTTGTGTACGTTTTCCTGGAAAACAGTTGACATTTGTTATCATCGTATATAGTTTTTGCATCAGGCTTAAAACCTTCTTCTTTAGAGTAAATGGGGAATTGTAGTGGCATCTAGCCTTGCCAGTGAATTTGTTTTGGTGGCCACACCTCTTTGGGCATGGCTTCAGGTGCAGATGGAACCAGAAAGAGGAAAGCATGGGGCAGGCTCTTTCTCTCTCTCTCTCTCCCTCCCTCCCTCCCTCCCTCTCTCTCTCTCTCTCTCTCTCTCTCTCTCTCTCTCTCTCTCTCTCTCTCTCTCGGTTCGTGGATCAGGGCAGAGAAAGGCTGCAGTGGTTGTTTATCATTATCTGTGTGAGTTGTTCCCCAATAAAACACCCATTTATCATTTATCTTGGGTCTAGTGAACTCATTATTTCCCCACCTTCGCCAACTTCAGGACCAGAAGGAGTGACAGCAATCACCTTGGAACCTTTCTACATGTTCCTCTCGATTAGCAGCTGTGTCTTTGATGATCCTGAATACAAACAATTTCAAACTTATCTTCCTATAGGACTCCTTGGACCTACTTTATATGCTGAAGTTGGAGACACCATGAAAGTTCACTTTAAAAATAAAGCGGACAAGCCCATAAGCATCCATCCTCAAGGAATTAAATACAGTAAATTTTCAGAAGGTAAGATGAGTTTATTATCCTTCTGATGAAAGAATGGGTGGATTCTCGCAATAGTATTGCTAGATATTTAAAAACTGGTATAGTTAGCTAGACACTCTTAGAGAAATAGAAATTATAAAAATCTATCCTGCTTTTTGGTTTCAGAGAGGAAAACCAATGGTTTAGAGTCAACGAAATATCTAACTTTGTTAGGTTCCTGCTCCTAATTAGGTGGGTGGGAAAATCATCTAATTTCTCTGAATTCCATATGTTCATCTTAAAAATGGGAATAACAATACTTTGTAAGATGGTTTTAGGCAGAGGTAAGTCCATGTTTCTACAATAAGAACAAGCAAGAATTATCATCACAGAACTCAATGCAATGCAAATGCATTCTGCTTGAACTCCACGACTACTATGCTTCCTTCCCCTGCTCCTACGAGTTCTAATGGGCACAAACAAATGCCATAGTAATTAAGGGTGAACCAACATTTTTTTGTAAAAAGCCAGCTGCTAAATACATTCAGCTCTTCAGGCAATAAGATTTAGGCTGCCTTGGAAAGAGGACATTTTAATTGAGGAGCTGCCTCCTTCAGATTTGCAGCATGTCTATGGAGTATTTTCTTGATTGTTGATTGATCTGGGAGGTCCCAGCCCATTGTGGATGGTGCTATCCCTGGCAGTGAGCCTGGGCTGTACAAAACAGTAGGTGAGCAAGCCAGGGACTCAAACCCATGAGCAGAATTCTTCAGTGGTCTCTGCTTCAATTCTGCCTTGAGTTCCTCCTGCCTTAGCTTCCCTCTTTAATGAACTATAATCTATAAACCAGGTCCACCTCATCCTTCCCAAGCTGCTTTTGGTCAGTGTTTTATCACAGCAACAGAGAAGAAGATTGGAATAGCTGGCAAGTTCCTGGATGAGACATTGTGCACAGAAGCCTCCTCTATGTTACCCAAATCCATACAGTGATTAAGAGGTTTCTCAACCAGAGTTTAGCAATGCAGAGCAGGTGAAGGAGACAATAGCACAGTCAAACTGTCCCTTTCAACCGCCACTTAGAATGTGGGAGAAGGTAAGAGTCGTGGACTCTGGCCCTCAGCTCAGTTGTTTGCAGAGGGAATGGACCTTGCAACATCATTCATCTTCCTTCAATGTTTATTTGACCCTTTATCACTCAGTCAGCAAGCATTTGTGAAACAAAATTGCTGACCATTCTCCCGGGCACATCTATTTGTAGCTTCTTAGCATTGTATAGGAGTACCTATATTCCCATAAATTCAAAAGCAGTAATAAATGCAGATAAGTAGGAAAAATAAAAAACTTCCCTGGGAAACAAGATGTAAACTTAGTACATATTTTCCTTCATGTAGAGACAAGCCTCCATTTCAATGTATCATGCCCTTCTGTTTTAAAATGCACTTATCCTCACCTATTGCCTACCTCTATGGTTGGACCTATTTTGGTGGAGATAAACTAGCTACATGGTGAGCCAGCAAAGCGAGAGTCCAAATTCTTTATCTCAGAAGTATAAGTTCAATAGAAGGACAGTGTGAGACAGAGACAATAAGAATAGTTTTAAGAAGCCATGGTGGTAGGTAGGTTGAAGATGAATTCCCCTGTTGGACAGAATACACAAACTGGTTTCTGGAAATGCACACAATTTCTTTCTCATGGTATTGACTCTTTAAAGCTTTGTATCAAGTCTGGGAAAGACAGCACAGCAGGTAAAACATAGGCACCTGAGTTCAAATTTCAGAACTCCCATAAAAAGCAAGGCATGGCCAGATGCATCTGTAACATTCAGTGCCTGGGGACAGGGAATGGAGACAGGAGCTCTCTAGGGCTGGCTGGACACAAGCTGAGCTTTGTTCACTAAGAAACTCAGTCTCAAGGTACTAAGGGCAAGAGTGATCAGGTCATCAGGTATCCTCTGGCTTCCACACACGCACGCACGCACGCACGCACGCACGCACGCACGCATACACACACACACCACTGTTAAAACTCAAATTTTCTATCACTAAAGGAATTTTAATTGAAATGAAAATTAATTTAATTTTCAAAAAGTCTATGAGTGACATGCATTGCACGATTGGTAAAGTCTGTTTGAGTGATTGGTAAGGTCTGTTTGAGTGATTGGTAAGGTCTGTTTGAGTGATTGGCAAGGTCTGTTTCATGGTAAGTATTAATTAGTCTTGTTATTATTCTTTCTTTTCTTCCCTGTCTATCTCTCTCTTCCCCTCCTCTCTCTCTCTCTCTCTCTCTCTCTTCTATCTCTCTCTCTCTCTTCTATCTCTCTCTCTCTCTCTCTCTCTCTCTCTCTCTCTCTCTCTCTCTCTGTGTGTGTGTGTGTGTGTGTGTGTGTGTGCTGGGGATCAGACCTAGCATCCCACACATGCTGGACAAGCCCTGTCACCACTGAGCTGCATTCCCAGACTCTCGATAGTATTCTTTCATTTGATTTATTTTATTTATCTGTGGAGCTGCATTGTACTATACCACAAAATTATTTTAGTGTTATAAAAATGCTTTAAATTATATTTAATGTTATAATTACATTACATTTAACCATTTTCTAGTAGGCTAGAGCCCTAAATCTAAAATATCCAATAAAGATTGTATTTTGCAATTAAGTGTTGCAAAATTCTGTATATGAAAACTTAGTCTTCAAGGATTTTCCATAACATTCCAATTTTGACACAAGCTTATTTATCTTTTTTTACCAAGTATGAAATGAATTATGATGATGAATAAAAAATTCTCACAAATTCCCCAAACTCTGCTATTTTCATTTTAAAATGTCTATGCAGTAGAATAAAGTTCATTATACAATACCAGCATTAATTTTCCCATTGTGTAAACTATGGCTTCTGGAGGAATATCCTGGATCTTTGCATGCACAAAGACATTCACTGTGTTTAATAAATAGGAAGAAAGAGATCACAAAAAATAAGTAACAAGGGAGATTTAATGAATGAGTGCCCTAAAGGGTGACCAGAGTCTCTTTACAGAACTTCACTTTCACAAAGCTTGCATGCACCATTTCATATTTAAAAACATACTGGGGGCTGCATTGAAAGTAATTAGTACCTCATGGCAGAAGTAAACACGCTATAAAGCTGACCACAGACTGAGCAGGAAATTAACAGAACAGAGTAAATATAAAATGAGGGAGAACTCTTATGTAAGGGGTTTACTCTACCACAGGGTGAACAAGGCCTTCTGTGCCCTATTACAATTCGTTCTGTCCATTTCTCTTCTTTTCAATTTAGAGTTTAACTTTGATTACAAATTCAAAATCAGATTTACCAAAACAAACAACAAACCACATTTCAAAACCACTTCCTCTGAAAATCTGTTTCTATTATGTTTTATAGTATGTAGATTACAAAATGAGAACTATAACATTTCTGTTTTATTCTAAAAGTAAAATAATCTGCTATGAAAAGAGTAAAAGCACTGAAAACAGTATCCTCCAGTTATCCTAGTAATCCTGTATGTACTTACAGGATACATTCCATGTGCAAATCTGCTGTTCACTATTTATTTCTGGGTGTTCATAATTCACCTTTTAAACTTAATTAAAATTGTCATTCAAGCATACAAAATGCTATCTTACATTAAAATGAGAAATGAAGTTCTCCTTGTGGACATCTATTTGTATTGCCATAGCAACTATTTCAGTACCTACATGTATATCCTAGCATCCTGTTTTGCACAGGTTTAAAGCCCACTGAACATTAAATTTGAGTGGGAGCCATTAAATATTCACAAATAGATTTGATGACACTAGGAAAATCAGTCACACACCTAGAAGGCAATTCCTACATAGGTTCTTCTTCAAGACAGGCAGCATGTTCTGATTGTGGCCTCTGCATTGAGCAGCCCTGGGAAATAAACAGAAGTCAAAGCCGTCACAAGGACAGAGCCATCACAAACTTACCCTGGTCTGCTTTGCATCTGCACCTAACACAGTGCCTGGGATGCTTGAGGTGCTGGTGTTGGTGCTGGTGGGAGTTGTGTAATCATTGCTGGGCTAAATTGAAGGACTAATGATTTATTAGAAATAAGGATACTGGGTTATTTTCATTTTGCTCAGAAATGTATTAATTTTGTGGGCAATTATAAGCAGTTGCATTGTCTTATTACCAATTTGCCTCACCTTAAAATTTCATCTGTTGGAAACCTGATCCTCAATGAGACTATATCAGGATGGGGCCTTTGGGAGGGTCTTAAGTCATGGAGTCACAAGCCTCCCTTATAAAGAGAACCATAAGTGGAACTCTTTCACCCTCTGTGTGCCATGTGTGACTATGATGAAGGGAGCAGTCTGTACCAGAAAGGGGCCTTGTGAGAGCACCACCATGTTGAAACCCACATATACCCTCTAGAACCATGAAGAATGGCTGTGCTTAGATGCCACCCAGTCTAGGGGACTTTGTTATAGCAACTTAAAGCCACCCCAATCTCAGATGTGTTAGAATACAAGAAGAGCACTAAGATATGTCTCATCTGACATAGGGTTGGAGCTTTAATGTCAGCCCTCGAGAAGTTGAGAGATGGATGGACTGTGAATGGCATGACAGCTTGGGATATGGAGTGTGTCTGTGTGTGTTCTAGTCCATTTATAAAAAATGAATTATTTTATCTTAATTTAAGGTGCAGGGCTTTAAAGGGGTATTAAGAGCCCCTACCAAATTCTCAGGGGTACAACTCAAAAGTTTTGACTTTAATGTCAAAGTTCAGATGCCTTCTTCCTCAACCTATCCAGAAAAGATATCATGAGTCATATAATGTAACAAATATTTAATCATAAATTGTGATAAGGAGATGGATCAGTGTATAAAATGCTAATTGTGCAAGTGTGAGGACAGGAATTTGGATCCCCAGAAGGGGATGTGGTCATGGCAGCTCTCCTGTAACCTCAGGGTTTAGGAGGTAGAGACAGGAGATGCTTGGATCAAGATGACTAACCAGACTACTGAATCAGAGAGCTGTGGTTTCAAGTGGGAGACCCTGCTTCAATATATATAAGGTAAAGACCATCGAGGAAGATATCTCCTCGTGTCAACATCAGCCTCTACATGCATATGCCCACAGGTATATGTGCACCCGAACACACATATAATCACATACATATGCCTATATATTACATATACACATGCAAAAACAATTAAATAATTTTAAAAAGAGCATCACCATCATACGTAGCATGGAGTCAGAGGAGTGAGCAATGTTAAATCAGTCATGTAAAAGCTAAGCAGAAATTGTATCTGACAACCTCTTACCCTGCAAAGTAGGTCACATTCTGTCTTTTGTAGAGCCTATAAAGGCAGCAGGAAGATATTACTTCCCTCTATAGGAATCCCCTGTGGGGTCTTAGCAAATAGAACAGTGACAGCTTCAAGTTGGGAAATGCCATGTCTTAACCCAGCAGACTGTGGAGGAAGATCACTTAGTAAAGGCAGCATGCAGCTCACATAGGGCAGCTCAAGGAACCGCATGCCTACCGGTTGTTGCATAAAGCCTAACCTGGGAGGGTGGCCTCCTTATCAGTCCTCTTTGTGCTTCTTAGCGTGCAGAGATAAAGATCCCCTGCTTCTCCTTCAAGACACTTCCTCATGGACTCTTCTATTAAGTGTTAATGTTATAACTCACAGGGAGTTGCTTAAGCTTTTGTCTTTCCTCAGCTTCCTGATCATTGTTAACATTCAAATCTTATTGATCATGGAATCGGGAGTTTATCTAATAGTAGACATTAGTTATAGTTAGTGTTAAACCTCTCTTGGTGGGAGAGATGAAATGCACTCGATGGTTGATTTTTACCTTAGAACAAGAGTCATAGTCTCAGGTGTCTACGATAGCCAGGGCTGTAGTTAGATGAACAAAGATTACAATGGACAGTAGTGAACAGAAACTAAAAACACAAACAACCAAATGACAAACCACAGCTAGGACTCTGGATCGGCCAGACTTTGTGCCAGAGTTTGGCTATGCCACCAGATCTCTGAAATTTGCATTTTGTTTGTTTTTTAAAGAGCAATCAGTGATGGATGGCCCTAAATAATACATTCAGTTTTCTAAGTGATACATTCAGTTTTTTAATGGTACATTTTAATTTACTTTCATAACATACAATCCTAACAGACTACATCTAAAAGCTATGAGTTGGTGACCTTGGCTATAGCCCACAGGACCATAAACTGTAGGATTACAGCAAACATGCATTGAGCATATATTCCATGCTTCCAATGTGCTATAGAAAACACCAGAGATGCTGAACATACATGCCAAACCTCTTCCCTTGAGGAACCCACACTCCATCAATCAAAATGTGCAGAATTCTAATAATTATCAGTAAGAAATACTATACCACAGATATTTAATTTGTGAGTACAATAAAAATAATATGTAACAGAATCAGAGATGAAGGAAGAAGTAACTGGTATTTGTGTTGGCTTCAGAAAGATGGGCATGCTTTTATAGAAAGAATTAAATGGAGCAAGAATACTCTAAACAAAAACAGCTGTATAAGCAGAGAGCCTGGGTAGCATAGCACTGGGCATGTCTGGGAAACAGGCAGGAGGTGTGGGTGATAGATACAGAGTAAATGGCAAGAATCGCGTATGATGCAGTGGATGAGAATTAACACAGAGACCCACAACTAGACAATGTGCAGAGAGTGAGAGACTGTGGAGTACTCAGTCTTAAATGGGATGTCTTTATTAAATCCCTTCCCCTCAAGGCTCAGGGATTTATGGGAAAGGAGAGGTGGAAAGATTCTAAGAGCCAGAGGTGGTGGGTGAGGAAACAGTGTCTTCCAGACACAAAACTGATACACACATTAACTCAGAGTCTGTGACAGTGTGCACAAGACCTGCACAGGTTCAAAGCAGACAAAATCCCAGCACTGAGAAGAAGTGGACACAAGGTCCCACCCTTCACTAAGAAGCTATTCACAAATGGTACCTGCTGGGAAAGGGAATACTAATTTTCTCCAATAGAGTAATACTGAGTATATCAACCATACTCCAAGGAGTTTCCATCTACATGCTCTTTTGTTTTGATATTTTTGTCTTACTGACTTTTCTTTGTATTAGTCAGTTATTCTTTTTTATTTTTCATTTTGCTTCTTTGTAGTTTTCTTTTTCGTGGTTGTTTTTCAGAGAGGGAGAGAAATAGCAAGGTTAGGGGGTAGGGAGTTGGGGAGGATTTAGGAGGAGGTAAGGGAGAGGAAAACATATTTATAAAATATAGTGTGAAAAAAAATTTAAAAAAAGGGTTGATTATGTCGAGGAACAGGAAGAAAACCACACCAGAGCATATCATGACCAAATGGCCAAAACCCAATGATAAAGCAAAACTATTGAATGTAGTCAGAAAAATAGACACCATATACAGGGAAGGGAAAAGTTAAGAAATGGTAGCAGACTTCTCGATCTGTGGTCAGTGAAAGCCATGTGACAGTGTGGGGCATCCTTGACTTACTGTGGTGGCATATACTTGAATCATAGAACACGAGGGTATCAAGCTGGTACCAACCCTGAAGGTCCTTCTCTATTGGCCAGCTTTCATAGTACTGGAAGATGCTATGCCCACAACTGGAAGAAGAAAATAATCACCAGTCTTAGCTGTAAACTCTAGGATCTATAACAAGCTATGAGGTATTGTCTTAGTTGATGATTTAGGTGAGAGAGTGAAGCCCATTGTGGCTGGTACCTTGCCTGAGCAGGTGGTCCTGGATGCTATAAGAAAGCAGGCTGAGCAAACCAGTAAGCAGCACTCCTCCATGGCTTCTGCCTAAGACCATGCCTCCAGGTTCCTATCCTGACTTCCCTCAGCAATGGAGTATGACTTAAGAGGTACAAACTAAAACAAAACCCTTTACTTCTCAAATTGCTTATGGTGTGTTTTATAACAGCAATGGAAACCCTAATAAGACACCGATCAAACACAAAAGGATAAACTATGTATCATCTCATTAATATGACATGATATAAAAACAAAGTTTTAGTGAAAGCAAGCAAGTGAACTGTTTCTTGGATAGGAGAGCATGGATCGCAGGTAGCATAAGGACACTTTGAGCAAAAAAAGTCGAACCATCCTCTACATTCACCTTGACCGGCCATCAGACTATATGCATTGGTTAAAACTCACCAAGTATTATGTTTAAATTTGGTGAGCTTTATTATATACCAATCAAAGGAAATAACAAGAGGGAGGTGAAGAAGATGGCTGGGAAAAAAAAGAAGGGGAGAGCAGGGCTGAATCAAGCATTCCTCTTTTCAAAAGTGAAATCACTTCAGGAAAAATAGTTCCCACTGGTCCTTGGCCCATCATATAAACCACTTCAGGCTCGATTCCCTGTGCTCTGATGAGCTCACCTTCTACCAAGCAAAGCAAACTCCATCCCATAGAGTAACCTTGGCATCAACTGATGATAGTGAAAAAGTTGGCTTAATTGAATGAGGAATGCCTCTGGCAAAGAGGAAGCCAGTCCCTCTTGATTGCCGGGGACCCTGGCCTCTCCCCTTCCTGCTCTCACTTGCTCCATCTCTACCATGTCTCAACCCTCCAAACTCCTTTTAATCTAGGTTCTTCTTCAAAAACGGAAGACTAATTTCTACATCGTCCCTCTGCTGCTGCTGGAGGGAACACCCAGGATGCATAGGTTGTCAATAGGTTTTTCACAATGAAGTAAGGAATCTTCACTTCTGAGACAGACTGGTCTCCTATGCCCAAGGAATAGACTGCATACAGGAGCTAGATGCTGAGACCATGGGGTGGAGAAGAATTGGAATGGTCCAATGGCAAGGAGCAACAAAGAGACAAAAACAGGGGGGCATGATTGCAGTAAAAAAAATATGTTTTCAGTGCCAAACAAAACAATATGTAAACGGCACACACATCCCATGCCAGCAGCAAGCTAGTATGTCTCGTGAAGGACTCAGAAGAAAAAATACTGATTCTCATATTATGAGATGGCTTACTGATGAAATGCGATTTGAGTCTCTGATTACATATAATCAGTTGTTCCAATACCCTGAAATCGTAGTCAGTCTTAACTAATCTTCACTAGTAGCAAGTGTTCTTCAGGTTATCGTGGTATTGTGTAGATGTGGGGATAGGGGTATGTGACTCTGATTATGAAAGTTGCTATGAAATGCAGGTTATTTGCAGAGAGCTCATCTCAGGTTCCCCATACTGGAAAGTGATGGAAAACCCAAGATATCTTTGTGGCTATTTCTTCTCCAGGGGCTTCTTACCCTGATCACACATTCCCAGCGGAGAGGATGGATGATGCTGTAGCTCCTGGAGGAGAGTACACCTATGAGTGGGTCATCAGTGAGGACAGTGGGCCCACACCAGATGACCCTCCATGTCTCACCCACATCTACTACTCCTATGAAAACCTGACCCAGGATTTCAACTCAGGGCTGATTGGACCTCTGCTTATCTGTAAAAAAGGTAAAAGCAACAACACCAGATTCAACCATAGCAAAGACGCTGGGGTGGCTGGGAGATTATACTGGGGTGAGCTTGGGAGAACCTTGGTACCTTCTTGTAGGTGAGGCAGGAGAAGGCCGTGGAGACCAGATCGTGGATGAGGGAAAATGGCACCTGGCACCGGCTTTTCCTATTTCTTCTAAAACCTCCCTTCATCTTAGTCATGGCAACTTCCTTCAAACCTGTTCTTACATTGTGCCTGTATGTTTGTATGGCCTCAAAGCCAAGTCTATTTATTTTAAAGTGTGCAGCACCCTGCTCACTGAGAGAGTTCCTGGAAAGGACACTGGCTGGTACAACTGACATAGCTGAGGTTTCTTTTGGTGATTTGGTTTATAAGAATGAATACTCGAACTCTCTTTCTTTGTTATTATTTGGTTGAGGATGGGTTGGTTGGTTGGTTGGTTGGTTAGATGGTTGGTCTTTTATTATTTTAGTAGACAGGGCCTTGAACTCATAGTGATATTTCTCCCTTAGCTTCCCAAGGGGTAGGATTACAGGTGTGAAGTGAACCACCTTTGCCAGCTCAGCTTGCTTTCTTATAAACAAGTTGAACACTTTAGGTGTAGTCCACAGATTTCATGAGTGTCAAGCTTTGCTGACCTATGTAGATATGTGTCTTTGAGACCTGGGATTTGAGGACCTTAAGGAATGGGGCAGACTATGGTCTAATGCTATAGACAATTTTACGTCAGTTTCAGTGTACTTTCATACACCGATGAAATGAAGAAAGCACTGATCCAAAGAAGGTTGTTTGAGTTCAGAAAAACATGATCAGAAAAACATGTAAATAAACTCCAGTAAGCACATACTAAATATTGACAGAGCAACCCTTTCCCAGAACTTTCTCAGGGCAGACCAGTTTAAACACCATTGCCTGGCACATACCGTAGATTGTATCTGGGAAGGCACGAAAGCAAGGTAAAAAGCCATATCCAGATTCAAGGTACATGAAGAAACACTCAGCACATCCTTTCACTGTTGGGTTCAATAGTTATGATCTGACATCCAACAAGAACAAACGTCTTATAAATCATATGTAAATGTTTAACATGGGAGGCACAAAATACATCCAAAAACAATCCAGGGAACAAAATACACCTGAGGTAAAAGGCCCTCGGCCTTCCTGGAGCCTCTCTCACAGTTCCCCAAGGCACAAGTTCACCATGTGTCATTCTTTTGACCATGTTCTGACAGTGAGGAATTCCATTAGCTATGCTTCTTAGAAATACATTTGACTTTCTCTTCTTCTCTTACTCTGAGAAACCTCAACTCATCTTTCATTGAAACAATCAAAGAACCACAGCAAACTGCATCATGGGGATAATGTCATTTATGTCTATACACAGATCATATACCCAGCTATTTATTCATCATACTTTTTGATTTCCTGGGATATAAAAGATACTGTAATTGTATTGAAAAAGCTGTTAATCTTATAAAAGGCATTTTCACTTTATCACCATTTTTACTCATATTAGGATGGGTTTATCTTGACACAAGCATTTTTTCTCTAGTCGAGTGTCCCATTTATGTATAAATGAGGAAGCTGTATTCAACATGGGGTGTTGTGTTGTACCATCTGAGACAAGGTGTATGTTCTGGTCTAGAAGACCGGAATAATGGATGGTTTTCTTGTTGTTGTTTTTTTTTTGGGCCCCCCCCCCCCCCCCCCACCGCCAAGTGAACAACTGTCAATTTATTTCATATAAATACCCTTTTTGAAAACTTTTTTATTGATTTTTTGTGGATTTCATATCTCATCCCAATCCCATTCATCTCCCCATCCCTTCATATCCTCCCTCTGTCACTGCAACATCCCCCCAAAACCAAAACAAAATAAAATTTAAAAGAAAAGAAAATTCTCATCATGATAGCCACAGTGTGGCACAGTGAGTCACATAGTATACCCTTTAGTCCACACATCTTTACTTTCAAGTGTCCACTGCAGTGACTCCTTCAAAGGCTCCAGCAGATCACAGATGGGGTGGATGTTGAGATGAGCCAACTCATATCCCTGGTTCTGGGCCTGGGGGGTTGCTGGGTTGGTCAGCCCACCAGCTCTCTCTTGTGATCATCACCAGGGTGAGCTCTCCAACACCTCCCTGACTAGCTCACCCCAAACAGCAAGCAGCAAGGGGTGGGGCCAGTTCTCCCACTCTCACATCCTCACAGTCAGCTCATCTGCACCTATACCACCAGGGCCAGGTGCTACTGTGTTGTGCAGGCGAGGGTGCAGGGGTCACTCTCTGCAGCCAGTGAAGGGCAGGTCCAGATCTTCTACTCTCATGACCTCAGGGTCAACTCTCCCACCCACCACAGGCAGCAAAGGGCAAGGGAAGGGAGTTTTGGGGGTTTTTTGGGGGAGTAGACTTTTACTGCATAGTCAAGAATGGACTTGAACTCCCTATATAGCCCAGGGTGGCCTTGAACTCATGATTCTCCTGCTTCAGCCTCCTGAGTACTGACATTATAGGAAAACATCATAAGACCTGGCTGGGAATGTATGCTTCCAGTTTATATCATTACTTGTTTCTGGCCCCAATGCGCATGTATGGGGACACTAAAGGTACCTTTCAATCCAGAAAGTGTTAGAAGCATGTCTCTTCTCTCTCAGGCACACTAACCGAGGATGGAACACAGAAGATGTTTGACAAGCAACATGTGCTGCTGTTTGCTGTGTTTGATGAAAGCAAGAGCTGGAGCCAGTCACCATCCCTGATGTACACAGTCAATGGCTTTGTGAATAGGACGATGCCAGGTAACACAGGAGCCATGCACCATTCAGCAAGGCCAGTGTCACCAGTACCTTGGTCCTATAGTTTCTGTAAGGTAGCTTAGCACACTGGTTTCCAATGCCTAGTGGCAACTTATCACCCTTCTGTGCAATGATTCAGTGACGCCCGTGGTTTTTTTAATCATCCTCGTCTTCTTTTGTGTTTCCCAGGAAGTACAACAGATAAATCAGAAGGAACCGTGCTTAGAGGGAAATGCTGACCAGACCCACTTGAGGGCTGGCACAGGTGACGCTGACCACACCCACTTGGGCTAGCGTCACCTGTGCCAGCCCCTAAGTGGGCGTGGTCAGCATGTCCCCCTACAACCGTGTTTGTTACAGCCTTGTTAGGTGTGGCATCTGAGCATATCACTTCTATTCAAGTACAGAGTTACACTCGAATAAGAATGGTCAACTGAACGAATGAAATAAAGAGGGCTGGAGAGATGTCTCAGTGGTTAAGAGCACTGGCTGCTTTTCCAGAGGTCCTGAGTCCAATTCCCAGCAACCACATGGTGGCTCACAGCCATCTGCAATAGGATATAATCCCCTCTTGGTTGTGTGCATGAAGACAGAGCATTCGTGAACATGAAATACATACATAAATAAAACTTTAAAAAAGAAATAAAGATATTTGTAGTAAAGAAAAACAGGAGTGTGCTCTACTATACAAATATGTTGTTAGCTGTTCAAAAGTCCATTGATAAACAATATTCAGCTATATGTAGAAGGTTTTCTCTTCCCATCTGCAGATAGAGTTTTGTTAAAAAAAAAAAAAAAGTAAAATCCTACCAACTGTTAAGTGGGGGGGGAACTGACTTCCACTGTACTAGTCAATTTTATGTTGCTATAATAAAATACTGAATGCTGGCTACTAAATAAAGAAAAGATGTTTTAAAAGAAATCAGTTTTAGAAGCAAAAAATCAAGACTGGCAGGCTCAGCCTCTGGGGAGGGACCACTTGTCTGTGTCATAGCAGGGCAAAGAAGCAAAAGGGAAATGGCTACATTGTAGAAGCCAAGAACAGGGATGGGATGGCCTTGTTTTATAATAACTTATTCTCATGAGAATTAACCAAGGTCCCATGAGGACTACATAAATCTCTTCCAAGGACAGTACCTCCAGTGACCTAACCACCTCCCAGTAGGCTCTGTGTTTGAAAGGTTTCACCACCTGAAATGCACCACACAGAGCCAAGCTTTTGTCATGTGAGCCTTTTCAGAGACATGCCATAACCATAGCAACTGCCTATACCACTTCGTCTATGTCCTTCTAGTAGAACTGACTTAGAATGAAAAATCCAGAATATTCACACATATATGATACACAGTGTGTGTGTGTGTGTGTGTGTGTGTGTGTGTGTGTGTGTGTGTGTGTGTGATGTAGTAATAACAACTCAGGGAGAAAGCCTAGATTTGCTGTTTCTTTGCTCCCAATGTGACTGGGAATCTGCTCATTTGCTCTGTGGGAGATCCTAACCTTAGCTTCTGTACTAGATATACATTCAAATTTCAAATCTACAATTACAAGATAATTGGCTAAAATTGGTCCCTTATGATATATACATATACAAACACACACACACACACACACACACACACACACACACATATATATATATATATATATATATATATATCCGAAGTATATATGTATATATTATGTTTATGTTGTTTTGGGAAAATGAGAATATTTCCCTATTAAAAAATTCTAGGGGCTTCTGAGATGGCTCAGCAGGTAAAGGTGCTTTTCTCCAGTTCTGATGACCTAGGTTCGGTCCCTAGGACCCACATGGTAGAAAGAGAAAACCAACTTTCACAGGTTGTCCTCTGATTCCCACATGTAAGTCATGGCATTTGTGCCCATGCACATACACGAAATCAATAAATAACTGTAAACAAAAATAAAAATTCTAAATTTCATTATGTACCAATATCACAAATAGCTTCTTTTACAAAGAGACAAAAATTGTCAAGAGTTGAGGTCTAGTATTGCTTTAAGTTTTTATTCTATTTCATTTGGCACCATCTTCTGCCTGGCTCATGCAGCTCTGGGTACCGATTCTGAGTTCCAAACCTAGGTTCTTGCAAACCTGAGACTGAGCTAACTGACATCTACTTTGGAAGATCTGAATTCGAGCCTCATTCATTTCCCTGCCTCTGTGCTGTCCTTGCCAACTAGTAGTCGCAATATGCTGTTTCCAGAAATGGAATTAACAATTGCATTATATGTGTCCTGACAGGGAGAATTATCCATGTATTTTATATATCAAAGCTGAAATAGTGAAACAGAGAGATTATGTAGTTGAAAAGAAGAATAATTTCAACTAAAAACAAAAGAGCAAGGTGAAGGGAAGAAAAATCCTCAGTAGACACAATACTTATGCCTGTAGGGCCCCATCCTTCTGTAGTAACATACACTGTTACAATACTACTGTAGACATGTTCATTGCTGGACTCAGAGTGAGCTGCTTCTGAAGTGGAGAAACACACACACACACCTAGCTACCTCCCAGCTTCCTGTTCACAATGATCTCACAAAGGACAAGCTCCTCTATGGATGAGAAGCCAATTCCCAGACCATCCATCCTCTTGTATCCAGTGATCATGGATCTGGGTAGGAGCCAAGACTGGACTCTTTCCCAGAGCAAGCGAGCATTTTCTTTATCACTGTGGCAACAAAGACAGCAAAGCTGAGCGTTTTCCTTGGTTTTTTCTTCCTCAGTTGTTATCAATCTGCCTGTGAAAAGCTTTTGGTGCCCAGTTACAGTGAGGACATCAGTAACACAGAGAGTAATCCGTTGTCACTAAAAGAATTTAAACGTGGGTAAAGACACAATAGAACATTTCCTCAGCACATTTCACACTTCCTTCTACTTTGACAGAACTTGACCTCTCATGAGATTCATGAGAGGATTAGGTACTGACATTCTGGCCTATGGGAGATGCTAGTGACCTTCCAACTGAAGCCAGTCACCCCATCTTGTCCAGGACTTTATCAACTCATACACTGAGAGCTCTGTGTCTCAAGGAACCTCTTAGTACCGGACAAATCAGGATGGTTCATCACATATTCAGCTGCCCCTAGCCTTAATCCTTTAGCTGTCCTTGTAGTTCTGGGGAAATGGCCCCATTCTAAGTTCTATCCCCCCCGCCCCCCGCTTTGAGGTATTACTTGCTACTTGAGTTGTGACTCTTTTTTTCCCTGCCACTGTGTGCTTGGATGTTGTCTCCCCTCAGATATAACAGTCTGTGCGCATGACCACGTCAGCTGGCATCTGATTGGAATGAGCTCCGGGCCAGAGTTGTTCTCTATTCACTTCAACGGCCAAGTCCTAGAGCAGAACCAGCACAAGGTGTCCACCATCACACTGGTCAGTGCTACGTCTACAACTGCAAACATGACTGTGAGCCCAGAAGGAAGGTGGATTGTTTCTTCTCTCATCCCAAAGCATTACCAAGGCAAGGAACCTTTTAGACCATCTTGTGTTGAGTGCAGCTTCATTCGTTCTTTTAACCTTTTAGCCAACCCCACCTAGATGGCTCATCATGGTTCCCAATGACACCATTGCATCCTCAGCTCTTAGACTCATGACCCACTGGCTGGAGATGAAGGAAGCGCAGGCATTGACAAAGACGTTTTAAAGCAAAAACTGAAGAGGTCTCTACTTTCATGAAAGAGGAAGAAAACTAACACTTCTGTAGATAAGTTCTTTGGTGTGTTTCACATGTAGCTAAAGGAAGGAACTCAGAGACTAGATAGAGCAAAGCAAACATCCACGAATTTGAAGAAGTACAGAGTTACCAAGACTGATAAGGTCAAACACAAGAATAGGGTCCTGTACAATGAAATGAGCACAAAAGCCTGGCACAGAAAAGAACACAATTAATGTGTGTTGAATGGAACATAAGTGATACATTCTCTTTTTGTTTTACTGAGGAAGGGTCATACACTGTAGCCCAAGCTGGCCTAAAACTCACTATGGTCTCTAAGCTGGCCTTGAACTCATGACAAAACCTTCCTGTCTCAGCCTCCCTAGTACTGAGATTATGGGCATGAGCCACCACACCAGCTAGAAATGGACTTCAAAGAGCATCAGTGAGTTCTCCTGAACCAGCAGGAGTTAACTGTCATGTCACAGGTTTTTGCTTTTAGACTGTTAAAAGGAGCATTCAAGCTAAAAGAGATGGAAATCTAAGCAAATTCTGTTACTATAGGAAACCAAACCAGGTGTGTAGGCACTTGAGGAATAAATATTGTATGAGATCATTTTGTTTTCATTCGGAACAATGAAAATTATGTTGGAGGTGATGACACTGATAAACTATCACTGTGGTATATTTGTTAAGGAATAAAGCAAAAATAAGACCAAAATTAAGGACAAGTGGTATTATGAGTTATTACTAATCACATTAAGTATATAATATTGAGTTCTTCATTTAGCAAAGGGACAAATAACAAGAAAAGACAAAATTTTTATATTTGGTTATTTTGAAGAGAAAAAGGAGGAGGAAGAGACAGAGCAATGTTAAAGATTAAACCCAGGGCCATCTACATACTAAGCCCACACTTGACCATAGAGCTTTACCCCAGCCCTAGTCCCAGGGTTTTAAGTTTGTTCCTGTACAGAAGAAAAACAGGGAACCTTTCCAACTTCTTCCACTAGCCCTTGCCTCTCACCCTGCTTTCTACTCTTGCCTCCTTGGTGACCCATTAAAAGAGTGCTAGGCCCAAATGGCTAAAAGTTGTCTGAACATTGCTATGCTGTTATTATTTGTCTCCCATTAATTATTAATTGTCTCCCATCAAAATACGCATTTTGATGAAATTTTCTCTTAAATTCTTTTATATCTTAATCCAGCTGGGATGCAGGCATACATTGACATTAAAAATTGCCCAAAGAAAACCAGGAGTCCCAAGACACTCACTCGAGAGCAGAGACGGCACATGAAGAGGTGGGAGTACTTCATTGCTGCCGAGGAAGTCATCTGGAACTACGCACCCGTAATACCTGCAAGCATGGACAAGTGAGTTGGGATTCAGGAGACCATTTGAAGATTAGAAAAATGTTCCTCACAGTCCCTACCGTGTGAGGCTGAAGTCTGATGTCATGAGTGGCCAGCTCTCAAGGGACTTGTGTATTGGTTTCCACCTAAACATTCTTATCCTCATGAACATTTAATTACACCTAATTTACCATAAAAATGTGGCCTGGTGATGATAATCAGAACAAAGGCAGCTAGAACTCACTGAATGCTTGCTGCTGCTAACCCTAGTAGTAGATGTTTGCAAAGGCCTTCACATCAGTTCCACAAGTTCAGTGCTACTCTTCTATTCTCATACCTGAGAGAAGATGCCAGAAAAATAAATAAAACTGGAAGTTCCGGTTGCTCTTCATATGCCATCATAATAAGGAAAATGAAAGTGAAATTTCACTGGGATGCTGTTCTGCACCTATCAGACTGGCAGGTTCACCTGGTGTAGTGACCATCTGTTGACGAGGTTGTGGGAAACAAAATCTATTGCACATTCTGGTGGCCCAGTGTGCTTCTAAAGCCATTCTGTGGGATAACTTGACAAAATATGTTAGAATTGTAAGAACATATAACCTTTTCCCAAACACTGTGCTCTTGGAATTTAATTATCCAAAAATATTCTTGTTCACAGGTGAAGGGCTGTGTGAGTGGGGTGCTCACTGCTGCACTGGTAATAGTAATAAAAAATTAGAATCAATTCCAAAAGTTCATCAACCAGAAAAGAGTATCAAGTTATATCACATTATTGCAATAGAATACTATGAATCAAAGAGAGAGAGAGAAGAAAAAGAGAGAGAGAGAGAGAGAGAAAGAAAGAAAGAAAGAAAGAAAGAAAGAAAGAAAAAAAGAAAGAAAGAAAGAAAGAGGGAGGGAGGGAGGGATGTTGTAAACTACACTGAGAATATTCCCAGAAGTAGCATTTTAGCTAACCCAAAAGGAGAACTTGTATGCACAAGCCCCTCATCCCACCCTGCACATCGTACTGGACTCCCTACTTGAAGTAGTTTAACTTTTGTTTTATTTCATTTCACTTTAAGGAAATACAGGTCTTTGCACTTGGATAATTTCTCCAACCAAATTGGAAAACAGTATAAGAAAGTTATTTACAGGCAGTATGAGGAAGAGACCTTCACCAAACGCACGGAGAATTCTAATATCAAACAAAGTGGGATTCTGGGCCCTATTATCAGAGCCCAGGTCAGGGACACACTCAAGGTAAGCTAAGACATAGGGAAGAATTGAAGTATGGAAGAGGCATCAGGGGTTCACAGTTTTCAATAATTTTAAATATATTCATAAAATTTTAAATTCAAACACAGCTTTTAGTTTTACTAAGTATTTCATTCATTTATAGCCTACTCAATAATACAAGGGGTCCTGACAGATAATCAAACTAGAAGGGAATAAAACAGAGTCACTGTCATTGGAGGAGTGAAGAATAGTAAGGGAGCAAAGAACGTGAGGCCAAAATAAGCATAATGAAAGAATCCATAGGTTGTCTGCAAAGTTAGTCGCAACTTCTATAGCAAACTAGTAAGGAAATATGCCTGAGCAAGATTACCTCCCTATGAACACAGCACGATTCACCTGAGGTAGAAAGCCGGGAGAAACGCCTTGCTTTCAGTGTCCTTGACAAGATCCTCACAACTGTTGCAAAAACAGAGGAATTGGGTGGCTTTTGAAAATATCATTTCTCTTTATCAGTGTGAACATCCGAGTCAGGAGAGTAAAGAGAAAATAACTCTTCAGGGAAGTCTAAGTATGTGGCTCTAATGACTGGTCTCTATTAAAGCTGCATTTATATGTGTTGGGCAGGCAAGATGATTCAGTGCATAAAAGGAATTTGATGCCAAGCCTGAATACCTGAGTTCGTTACCGGGGTCTATTGTGGAGAGAATCAACTCCCACTGGCTGTTTTCTGACCTCACATGCACACTGTAACATGCATGCCCTTAAACACACACCACACACACACATACCACACAAACATACACACATACACACACATACCACACACATACCACACACACACACACACACATATACACACACACCACACATACATACACACATACACACACATGTACACGCATACACACACACACACACACACACGTACACACATACACACACATACACACATATACACACACATCACACACATACACACACACATACATACATACACACACACACACACACACACACACACACACACACACGAGATAAATGTGCAAAGCTGTCATCTTCTTGTCCAATAGTTCTCATGATTGACCTTAAATACTGAAATAATGAATATGACTTAACTTTGTAGATCGTGTTTAGAAATATGGCCAGCCGACCCTACAGCATTTACCCTCACGGGGTGACTTTCTCTCCATATGAAGATGAAGGCAACTCTTCCTCCACCCCAGGTGGGACCCTTTCATTTCTTCTGAATGAGACGACTGAGCTCTGAGGGACTTCCATAGTTTTCTCTTGTCCTATTTGCTCAGTGGTTATGACAGATACAGTCAGTAATACTCAAAGCGGGGATCCCTAAAAATCCCAGAGAAGCCTCTCTCACTTTAATAGTTAACAAAAATAATACCTTTCTGAGTGTCATTGGCGGCATCTAGTGGAGAAATGTTGAATGACCACATGCTGTCTGTAGTCCAAAGGGTTTAATACAAAAAGAATATTTCTTTCCTGATACTAATTACTCTAAATAAAAGCTAAGGTAGATATTTATTATGATGAAATAATTTCCATAAAAATTAATAATGTGCATTTTCTTTCAGGCAGTCACACCATGATCAGACCAGTTCAACCAGGGGAAACCTACACTTACAAATGGAACATTCTAGAGTTTGACGAACCCACAGAAAATGATGCCCAGTGCCTAACAAGGCCTTACTACAGTGATGTGGACGTCACCAGAGACCTCGCCTCTGGCCTAATAGGTCTGCTTCTAATCTGTAAGAGCAGGTCCCTGGATCAGAGAGGCATACAGGTATTTCATCTTTAAAGTAAACTTTAAAATACGGATTTCTCCTGGCTGGAGCAGATTAAGTCTCCCTGCTGGACACCAGAGTTTTTCCTTATAAAATACACCAAACATTAGTCTTCTTCAGCAGCAGTGTGATAATATTTATCACTGGGATCATCTTTTACATTGGTGCTCTTTCTGTTTTCCTTCGGACTCTCAGTTAAGAAAGTGTATCCCCAGTAAGATACTGGATTTTATTTTAGTTTCAAACCCCAGGCCTTTTGGTATTGACTGTGTGATGAAGAAGCCAGTCAAGCTCTTTAAATTCTTTCCTCTAATCAAATAAGTAATAACATTCTCCCTAGAAATCTGTTTACAGGGTGGCATAGGAGTGCAGTGTAAACTCAGTACCCATCTTTGCTGTTTTCAGACGCTACAGAGACAGGAAAGAGGAGGCCCTTAGAGCAAGGACATTTGGAGCCGTGGTTTGTTTGTTTGTTTGTTTGTTTGGCTAGTTTTTGTTGTTTTTTATTTTGTTTTGTTTTACGAGACAGGGTTTTTCTGTGTAGCCCTGGTTTTCCTGGAACTTGCTCTGTAGACCAGACTGGCTTCGAACTTGCAGATTCACCTGACTCTGCCTACCAAGTGCTAGGATTAAAGACTTGCACCATCACTGCCCAGCTGGCGCTGCAGTTTTTAGTGAAGTTGGAGCCTGTCAAAAGTCTTTCTTTGGTAAAACTAAGTTGCAGCAAAGAATGTAATTAAGAGACTGGATTTCTGAGTTCATTTTATTTTGAGACATGTTCTCATGTGGCCTAGCGTGGCCTCGAACTCACTATATGGGCCAGAATGGCCTTAGACTTTTGAAATTTGTCTTTTTTCCCAAATTTTTATTTTTTATTTATGTGTATGGGTGTTTTGCTTGCATGCATGTCTTTGTACCGTGTATACCTGGTGCCCATAAAGGCCAGAAGAAGGTGTTAAATCCCCTGGTACTGTAGCTACAGGTGGGTATAAGCTGGCATGTGGAGGATGGAAATTGAAGGCCAGGTACTCAGTGCATTCTCTTAATCACTGAACCATCTCTCCAGTCTGACCCCTTGTTTGTTTTTTGTTGTTTGTTTATTTCTGTTTTGAGAGAGGTTTCTCTTGTAGTTCAGGCAGGCCTCAAACCGATTATGTAACCTGGGATAACCTTGAACTTCTGTGCCTCTCAAGTACTGAGATTAGAGACACACATATGCCAACACACCAGGTATATGTGGTGCTGGGGATTGAACTCAGGGCTTTATACATGCTAGGAAAACACTTTACCAACTGAACTACATCCCCAGCATCCTGAGTTTATTATCTTTATTGAAAATGAGTAGTCTCATGTTATTCATCTAAAATTACCATTAGGCTAAATAATAGTGAAAGAGGTCTTCTCCAAAATAGGTGGATGTCTAGGAAAATCAGAACAGTTACAAGATCCTGATTTATTGATGTAGCAAAGGACAGAGAGAAGGACGGGTGTGAGGCTTTCCTGCTGCAGCTTCTGCTCATCCTTTTCACCATTTGGAACACATTCAGTCATTCATTTTGAAAAGTACTCGGTTACAGATATGCACTAACTTGCTGGTGTCGTACAGGGATAGCATTTTTCCCCTGGATAGTTTGACAGAGTTCTCTGATCCCTTCTGTCTGCTTTCTTGTATTAGCTTCGTCTCTGACAAGTGTTTGGTATATCATGGGCTCTCATAGGTGTCTGACATGTGGCTTCTCTGAACTCAATGACAATGGGGAAATAGGCACCCAACTAGAGCTTTAACCACTGCCCTTCCACCCTCCAGAGGGCAGCAGACATTGAGCAGCAGGCTGTGTTTGCTGTGTTCGATGAGAACAAGAGCTGGTACATTGAGGACAACATCAACAAGTTTTGTGAAAATCCTGAGGAGGTGAAACGTGATGACCCCAAGTTTTATGAATCAAATATCATGAGCAGTAAGTCAGAGCCCCCGTCTCTATCTGTCTTTTTCACTCTGACCGTCAAAGTGTGTCTTTTCCCCAAGGCAAAGATGTGATGACGTTATCCCCTCTCAAAAGCTACCTGTCCTCTCCTCACTCACAGTCCAAGGACTTGGTGATGGGATGCTGGGCACCCTGGGCAGCCAAAACTTCTTGTCTTTTAAGAAAATGTTCAAAGTCTAGTGATCCTTTAAGTCACAGTGGCTTCCTGCTTCCAAATAGTGTGTGTGTGTGTGTGTGTGTGTGTGTGTGTGTGTGTGTGTGTGTGTGAGTGCGCGCGCGCACGCGCGCACGCACGCGCTGTGCTATGCATTGTGTGTGGTGTATATTGTGATATGTGTGCTTGTGTGTGTGTTCAGTGTATATTAGTGTTGTGGTGTGGTATGTATGTGTATGTGTGGTGTATGGGGTGTGTATGATGTGTATGTGTGTGAGGTATGTGTGTGTGATGTGTGGTGTGTGTGTGTGTATGTCATTATGTATGTGTTTGAGTGTGTCTGATGTGTGTGTTTAAGTGTCCATGCTCTAGGCAGTGATGAAGGCTGGGAGGAAAGTCATTGAGGGACTTGATCAGTAGTACCTGAGAATTTTAGAAATGTGCATGACGAAGACCCTCCAGTGGATGCCAGGACAGAAATAAGATGTTTTGTAAAGAAAGCTGCAATCTCAAATCAGAGCCAAGCCAGGTGAGCTGAGTGTCATGAAGAGGCAGTGTGTGCAGAGGTCTGAAGAGAAAGCACACCCAGAGGAATTCAGAGCAGAAGGCAAGCTCTCTGAGCCATAGTTCTGATACTTGCTATGATTCCAAAGTAAGTCTGAGATGAATTTCACTGTGGCATTAGCAAGCAGTTTCCCCCAACAATCAGGCCCACCACATACACACACACAGAGTCCCTCCATCACCTTTACTGAGGAATAATCACCCTCTATGCTGGTGACTTTTCCAAGGACTGTTCATGGAGCCTCAGGACTGACAGGTGCCACATTCAGCTGTCTTTATATAATTTCCTTTCAGCAATGGGTCTGTGATAGCTCTCAACGAATAGCTCTAGACCAGTGCTGCCCAACAAAAATCATATGTGGGTAACTTACAGTAAAGTTTCTGGTAAGTTGAAAAATAAAGAGAAATAAGTGAAATTAATTAGAATAATGTTTTACCCAGCTCAGTATACTTCAGATTCTATCTTTTTGTTGTTTTGAGACATGGTCTCACAATGTAAGATATTACAATTTTTAAGTGTGTTGAAAAATTAAATTAGCTTTTTTACTGTCTTTGCAGTATACTGTGTATTCTATCCTTAAAGCACAAGTCAATGAAATCTACCTACATTCTACATTTCACTCATAGCTGTTTGTAGACAGTGTCCATAATATTAGACCATTTAGAAAAGCATCTAGACAGCACACAGGAGGCAGAGGCAGGTGGATCTTTGTGAGTTCGAGACCAGCCTGGTCTATAAGAGCTAGTTCCAGGACAGCCTCCAAAGCCACACAGAGAAACCCTGTCTCAAAAAAACAAAAAAAAAAAAAAAAAAAGAAAGAAAGAAAGAAAGAAAAGAAAAAAGAAAAAGAAAAAAAGAAAAGCATCTGGAATGATACAGAAACTAAGAACACACACTTTCAGCAACTCAACATGTATTTGATACATAGTAACTTAAATTGGTTTTTTAATACCAAACACCATTAGGACTGTGGTCACAGTGGTAACCTGGTACAAGTTTGTGCCCTCAAATAAATCATAGCTTAACTGGATTACCATGCTCAATACATATATAAATAAAGATGTTGCCCAAAGTGGTGTTCCTTAAAAAGAAGATTAAAATATATGAACTCAATATTTCAATGGAAACTATTAGGTTAACTGTAGGTCAATTGCAAGTTACAGATAATAATAGATCTTGATGACAAATATGTTTAGTAAGCTCCCTTTTGTGACATTCATTCTTATAACTACTATGTCAAGAAGACAAAGTTCTTTTTTTTTGTTTTTGTTTTTGTTTTTGTTTCCGAGACAGGGTTTCTCTGTGTAGCTTTGGAGCCTATCCTGACACTTGCTCTGGAGACTCGCCTGCCTCTGCCTCCCAAGTGCTGAGATTAAAGGCGTGTGCCACCAACGCCCGGCCGAAGACAAAGTTCTTATCTATAGTCTTGTCTTAGACAATCTAAATCTAAAACTATGAGAATATATTTATAGCAGAGCATAAAGTAACATTTTATATTTGCTTGGTGGATGAATACTAAACCAATGTGAGTGAAAGCCTTTGTCTTTTCCCCCTCCGCTAACCCAGGAGCATCAGCCGTCACATGGGAAGCTTGAATGTGACCTACTCACACGTTAGACATCATAAAGTTTACCTTTAATGACCACTGTTTTAATGCAGCCAAATGAATGTAGGGGCATTTGTCTTGGGTGTAATTAGACACAGGTCCTCTTGTGGTACAGGCCTGGAATTTGACAGATTTTATTCTTTCAGCTATCAATGGCTATGTGCCTGAAAGCATATCCACTCTGGGATTCTGTTTTGATGACACTGTCCAGTGGCACTTCTGCAGTGTGGGAACTTATGACGATGTTTTGACTATCCACTTCACTGGGCACTCATTCATCTATGGGAAGAGGCACGAGGACACACTGACCTTGTTCCCCATGCGTGGTGAATCCGTGACTGTCACAATGGATAATATTGGTAAGCGTGTAGATATTTGAAGAGAAAATTGATGGAATCTCAGGTGGTATAGGTCTCCAGGACCCCTGCAGGCTTATCTTACCTTGCTTCCCATGGTTTATAATTGGGAAATTCTATTTGCACATCTCTGGAACAACTGGGCAGGAAAGACATGTGATGGCAGAAAGACAGGTGTAACCATGAAGATGAAGGACTCATAAAGATATTAGCCACCAGGCGGTGGTGGCGCACGCCTTTAATCCTAGCACTCGGGAGGCAGAGGCAGGTGGATCTCTATGAGTTCGAGACCAACCTGGTCTACAAGAGCTAGTTCCAGGACAGCCTCCAAAACCACAGAGAAACCCTGCCTTGAAACAACCTTCCCCCCCCCCAAAAAAGAGAGATTAGCCATGAAAGCAACCTTTGGTATCATTCCTCAAGTGTTGTTGACTGTTTTATAAAACATTGTCATGGGATTTGCCAAATAGGCTATAGTAAATGTCAAGCGGGCTCCAAGGACTCACCTATATTCACTTCCCCAGAGCTGGTATTACAGACCTGGGCTACCATGCCTGATTTTTTAAAACATGGATTCTGGGGATCAAACTCAGGTCTTTGTGCTAGTTGAGCTATCTCTTCAGTCCCACTTTTCAACTTATTTTTAGAGACCACCTCACCCTCAGGTGAACAATCATTAGATAATCCCTGGAGGCTGTCTCAGAGACAGCATTGGCATATAAGACCCACGTTCAAATCCCACTCTGCCACTCAGTGTTTTGCAACTTTAGACAGGTTACTTGCCTTTGCTAAGCCTTAAATCACCCATTGAAAAGCATGACAGTGTTTCATAGTTGCTTCAGAGCCTAGTTGTAGATAATGCCAAGTGCCTAGCACTCAACAAGTGTTTGCTATTGGAGATGTCCCAGGTCATCCTTAGTGTGTCAGTAATTCACTTTCAAAATGACTCAAACTCACCCTGCCCCCACATACATTATTTCTTAGAAATACCTAAATACCCCTTCTTTGTAGGAAGACAACCTCACCACCACCTCCCAAACTCAGACAAAATGTACAACTAGGTAGATGGTAATGACTTTCAAGGTTTTCTTTATCACTGATTTTCCTCCTTTCATTGATATATTCTAAAACAGCAATTCTTAAACAATCCAAACTGAAGATCTCTTTTTTTCTCCTTAATCAATACTTTAATGTTAGGTTCTGTTAAATACCCTAGCCTATAAGTACAATGATCCTGTGTTTAGATACCAAAACATTGTCAAGTTACATTTTTTAAAATTCCTAAACACGCTATTCTTAGTTTTTTCTCCTTATGTCACTGTTGCTCAGTAACTCACTATTCATAGACTAGCATGGTCCATAGTTCACATATGGCTACCTCTGCTTAAAATTCACTAGAAGTTATTTCCCTAACAGATGCTGTTGTTTTGGTAACTTTTCCTGAGCTTTCAACCTTCTCTTCTCTGTCTTTCCTTTGAAGGAACGTGGATGTTAACTACCATGAATTCCAATCCAAGACTCAAAAACCTAAGAGTGAGATTCAGGGATGTTAAATGTATCCGGAATGATGATGATGAAGACTCATATGAGATTTATGAACCATCTGCACCTACATCCATGACAACTCGGAAAATTCATGATTCTTCAGAATATGATTTTGGCATAAACAATGATGACTATGATTACCAGTTTTCATTGGCTACACAACTAGGAATTAGGTCATTCAGAAATGCATCATTGAATCAGGAGGAAGATGAGTTCAATCTTACTGCTCTCGCTCTAGAGAACAGCTCGGAGTTCATATTTCCAAACACAGATAGAGTTAATGACTCAAAATCTTCAAGAAACCTTAGTGGAATCACCGGTAATAACCTCAAAGAGTCTCAAAGAACCCCTCCTGGCTCAGGATCCACTGTGACTGGTACCCTCCTGAAGGACCTCGCTGGCTTAGATGAGAATTCAGTTCTCAACCCTGCCACAGAGCATCATTCCAGCTCATATTATGAAAGTGATGTGGGGGATTCACAGTCAGACATCACAGTGATTCATCTACTTCCTCTTGGTACAAAAGGATCAGGGAGCCAAGAACATGCTAAGCATAAAAAAGCCAAGTCAGAGAGACCCAACCTCATGAAGCATAGGTTCCCCCACATGAAAGTACCAGCCCGAAAAACTGGGAGGCATTCAAACCCAAAGAATACTTATTCCAGAGTGAAGTCCAGGGAGGAAATTCCTATTGAATTGTTCCTCTTAAAACAAAAAAACACATCCAAATTTTTGGACAGAGAATGGTATTTGGCTTCCGAAAAGGGTAGTTATGAAATTATACCAGCAAATGATGAAGACACAGCTGTTGAGAAGCTGCCAAACAGTCCTCAAAATCAGAACATCTCAAAGTCTTGGGGTGATAGCACCTCCCCTACAAAAACAGCAGGAAAGCCAAGTGACATCCCAGTGTTTTCTAGAGTTAGAAATAAATTTCCCCAAGTAAGAGAGGAGGAAAGAAACAGTAGCTTAATGAAAATTAGGACTCGAAAGAAGAAGAAGAATAAGAGGCTTTCACTCCACAGTCCTCTATCTCCAAGGGGCTTCCACCCCCTGAAAGGGGATGCCCAACTCACATTTTTAGACCAGAGACTCAATCACTCACTGTTACCCCACAAGCCCAATGAATCAGCTCCTGCCATAGACCTGAATCAGACCTCCTCTTCAACAAGTATTGACAGGTCACTTCCTGACCATAATCAGACCCTCCCACATGACACTGGGCAGAAGAGCTCTGCTTTCAATCTGTACCAGTCAGTGCCCCCAGAGGAACACTCTCCAACATTTCCTGTCCAAGATCCTGATCAAACACACTCTGCCACAGATCTTAGTCACAGATCCTCTCTTCCACAGCCCAGCCAGGAACTTGATTATGACCTAAGTCATGAATCCTACCCTGAAGACATTAGTCAAGCATCTTTCTTTCCAGACCAAAGTCAAAAGTCTCTCTCTTCAGAAGATGGCCAAACAAGTCCCTCCTCAGACCTAAGCCTCTTTACCGTCTCTCCAGAATTGGATCAGACAACTATTTCTCCAGACCTGGGTCAGGTGCCCCTTTCTCCAGGTGACAACCAGATGACTTCTCCCCAAGACCTGGGTCAGGTGCCCCTTTCTCCAGAAGACAACCAGATGACTTCTCCCCAAGACCTGGGTCAGGTGTCCCTTTCTCCAGGCGACAACCAGATGATCTCCTCCCAAGACCTGGGTCAGGTACCCCTTTCTTCAAACAATACCCAGAAATCCTCCCCGCAAGACCTTAGCCTCTTGACCCTCCCTCCAGAATTTGATGAGGTAGCCCTTCCCCAGGATTTGGATGAGCTGCCCCTCTCTTCAGACTTCAGTCAGGTGACCCTCTCCCCAGACCTCAGCCCTTTGACCCTCTCTCCAGATTTTGATGAGATAATCATATCCTCAGACCTGGGTCAGGTGACCCTTTCTCCAGACCTCATCCAGACAAGCCCCACTCTTAACCACAGGCACAAAACAGCCTCTTCAGATCCTGGTCAAGCATCCCACCCTTCAGATTCTGGTCAGTCTTCACCCCTTCCAGAACTGAACCAGACTCTTCCGGATCTCAGTCATGTGCCATCTGAGCCATCACCTTTACCATCACCCACACTCAATAACACTTCTGTGTCTGAGGAATTCAACCCTCTTGTTGTAGTAGGTCTCAGTAGAGTTGATGGAGATGATATTGAAATTACTCCAAATGAGGAGCTGGAAAGCATTGCCGATGACGATTATGCTGAAGATGAAGATTATGTAACCTATAGTGACCCCTACAAAACAGACACCAGGACGAATATCAACTCCTCCAGAAATCCTGATAATATTGCAGCATGGTACCTCCGAGGTCATGGTGGAAACAAACAATACTATTTTATTGCTGCTGAAGAAATATCCTGGGATTATTCCAAATTTGCCCAAAGGTTTGGCTAGTTTTCTCTCTGTATATTCTCATTTTTCCACCACTGCCATGAAAATCACCTACAACAGTTCTTGGGAGATGATTTTGAACAAACTGTGCTTTATATATCCTGTTTCATCTGGGCCTGTGATATTTCCTTTTTCATTTCCAATATTAGCTTCGTCTACACTTTATGGCACCTAGGCAAATAAGAACCAATACTGTGGAAGTTTATGGTATCCTATGGGTAAATCAGTCTCCCCTTCTGTCTCATATCCACTTACCACACACGCTCCTATCCCCTTTTCTTGCTCTAAGACACACCTTTACCTATGCATAGCTATCTGCTAACCAATGTGGTTTAAGTGAGGTTGGCTTCCATTCTAAACTTCAGTGTAGAAAATCCCCATTTGCATCTACTTGTTAACCACAGTTTCTAAGACATCCATTTACTCCTTTGTTTTTAATATCATTTTCAATTCAGTGTCACTGAAAGATGGAAAGCCACACTGGGCTGGGCCCTGTGTTCTGAGATGAAAACAGAAGAATGGGGCAAGATTCATTAATTCAACTACAGATTCATCGGGGTATATCTGGGTGGCTGTGTACAATAAGCAGCTTGGAGTGGTTAAGAAAGGCTGCCACACTAATATTCTAGCAGTGTGATTACAGAGCGCAAATGCAATGTCCACTGAGACTGAGCCACCTCAGATTATGCATACAGTGGCTGGCATTTCTCTTTAGAATTCTCCTAAAATGCTCTCCCCTGTGATTTCCCACTTCAATGCAGTGCCCATTACTATGTGAGAATAAACTAGTTATCTGAATATTTCTAAGATGAGCTTTAGTGACAGGATTATAGCCTTTACACGGAGTAGAAAGAGTGGGAGCCAGTTCTTTCAAAAATCTTAACCCTCAGGGCTGAAACTGGCCCTTATGGCTGGCATAGTGGTTTGCCTGCTCCACGTGGTTTGTGAGGCTTTGTGGCTAAATGGGGTCAGCAAGGAAGAAAGACAGGAGGGGGGGCAGAATAAGTTTCTCCGTTGATTGCTTTGGGAAGACAATGACTATTAAGCATTTGAAGGATGAGTTTGGGGCTTATGTCCATAGATTTGAGAGATTTGACTCTGTAAGAGAATTTGATGTCCTTTGGCCTCTTGTTGAGTTGATAAGATCCATGAGAAATGTCTTGGATTTATATTTAATTAAGCTTTTTATTTTGAGATAATTGTGGAGTCATGCACTGTTGAGAGAAATTGCACAATATTCCTTGTATGCTTCCTCTTGTTTTCCCCAGTGGCAGTCTCTTAGAAAACTATGATATACCACAAACAGCTTATGAACCTGCTGCTGTCATGAGAAAGAACATTTCCATCTCTGCACACACACACACACACACACACACACACACACACACACACTTCATACTGCCCTTGTGTGTATCTTCCACCTCCCTGTCACCATACTCCTCCTTAACCCTGAAGCAACTGGTCAGATCACTATTTCTGTCATTTTGTCATTTCATGACCATTGTGTCATGAAGCATGTGATCTTGGGGGATTGACTTTTTCACCACTAAACATAATTCTCCAGAGATTCATCCTCATTATTACATGCTCTAATAATTCATACTATTGCTCGACAGGCCTTCATATGACATGTACTACAAGTTTTGTTGTTGTTGCTTCTGCTCTTTGTGTATGTTGATGGTGCCAAACTGTGGGGTTTCAGTACACATGGAAGTATCCCAAGCTAATGAACACATACGTTGCATCATACCCTCCTAAAACCTACTCTTGCCAATTTTCAAGGCTGTACTACACAATGATTAATTATCATTGCCATCCTGTATAGCAGATCTCCTGAAGTTACATTTGCTCTCTAAATGAAATGTTGTATCTCTTGACCAATGTCTTCCCTGTGGGCTTCCTTCAAAGCCCCTGGTAACCATTCTATGTGAATTTTTGCCTTTCTGTGTCTAGCTCATTTCATTTAGCAACATGACAAATTTTTCTTCTTTGTAAAGGCTGTATCATATTCCAGTGTGTGTGTGTGTGTGTGTGTGTGTGTGTGTGTGTGTGTGTGTGCGCGCGTGTGTGTGATTTTCTTTCTTCATTCATCCATAGACATTTAAGTTGATTATGTTTTCAGCTGTTATAAATAATGGTGTGATAAAGTAGCCTTTTCTTTGATATACAAGTCTCACCTTCAATGCTGTGGCCAAAACTGAGATTTCCAGCTAAGCAGGATAGCACATTTTAATCCCAGCACTTGGGAGGCAGAAGCAGAACTAGGCTAGCTAGTGTTACACAGTGAAAGCCCATCTCAAAAAAAAAAAAAAAGAAAGAAAGAAAGAAAGAAAAAAAAGAGAGAAAGAAAGAAATGAGACTGCAATGTATGTTGTAGCTCTATTTCTATTTTTAATTTTTGAGCAACCTCTGTGCTATAAATTAGTTTAGATTCATATTTTTCAGTTTTAAAAGGTTTCTTTTTCTCCATGTACTTGTCAACACTTATCTCTTGTTCTTATAATCACCATCTTAATATTTAAAGTGGTAACCTTTGGATTTTCATTTTCATTTTTTGGTTACTAATATGAGCATTTTTATATATTTGTTGGCAATTTCTGTCTTCTTTGGATAATATATCAAAAATTTTAATATACTATATATAAAAGTTTGTTTCCATATTATTATATTTGTTTACTAATTCACTATTATTAAGAATGTATTTGTGTGTACTTTGTCTATTATTAATCAATATTTTTACTACTAATTGTTTGAGTTCCTTATATATTTTAGATATTTATTTCTTATCAGATACATGCTTATCAATATGTATTCTCCCATCATATAGATAGTTTCTTAATTCTCTTGACTGTCTCCTTTGTTGTTTGTAAACTTCAGTCTGATGTTGGATGAATAGAACTCCATCTGTCCCATTTGTGTTTTGTTATCTGTATTTTGAGAGCCCTATCATGCAAATCTTTGATCAAACAAGTGTCTAAAAGTTTAGGGATAATACGTTTTAGCAAAATCAAAGCTAAGAACTGCCAGTCAGAGTAAAAAGACATTCATCCATCCAATTGCCTTCATGAGGGGACCTTCTGGTTCAGCTGACCATCATCTGACAGTCCCTAGCTCTGGCACTAACTCATTGAATGGTTGTGTCTGTCTTTGGTGTTAAAATGTCTGTTACTATATTATTATATTTGTTTATTAATTTATGTGCTTGACAAAAGCATATTAAGTGCCAAATAACATGCTAAGAACTGGAGAAAGTACCATGAGCAGGCTGGGTGGAATACTGGGCCACAAAGTGGAAGAGCGAGACCTTAATAGATCTCACAGAGAAACCCTGTCTCAAAACAAAAAAAGAAAAGAAAAGAAATTATATTTGAGATGGAAATTTAAACATATATAGTCTCCCGTGTTTTCATTCACATACATTCATTAACTTAACATGAAATTGTTATAAAGTACTCTATGCTACTTATGTGAGCTCTGCGTGTGCCTGGCACCCTCAAAGGCCAGAATATTCCCTAGAACTAGAGCTACAAGTGGTTGTAAGCTGCCCACAGTGGGTGCTGGGAACCAAGCCTAGGTCTCTGAAAGAGTAGCCAGTGCTCTTAACTGCTGAGCCATCTCTCCTAGATTTCTCCAACAGTTTTTAATTTCTTTTTTTTTTTAATAAATGCTATTGCTGTCATTTTAGCGAAATGGACAATGAAGACACTGATGCCACTCCAAAGGACACCACATACAAGAAAGTTGTTTTCAGAAAATACCTTGACAGTACTTTCACCAGACGTGACCCTCAGGGGGAGTACGAGGAGCATCTGGGGATTCTTGGTCCTGTTATCAGAGCTGAAGTGGATGATGTGATCCAAGTAAGTCATGACTTCAGCCCTCTAAATCTGCAGGGATTTGCCACAAACACCGAAGCTGTTAAGGTAGAGGCACCAAAACTATAAGTGATTTGCTTCCCCAAACTAACAAATGACTGCGTCTCCGTCCACACACACCAAGATTGCTTGGCTATTTGACAGTTTTTGAGATTAAAAAAAAAAATCTTCGACTTTTTAACACTAAAAATGATTTAACGTGGAAGAGATAGCCCTGGTTTTTCAAGCTGAAGCCAGCTTGTGTTGAGTGAACATGGAAAATGATTCAACCGTATTCCATGGCAGAAGCAGTGGAAGCAATTGGAGTAGTTTATAAGAGGCAATATGACAAAATGAAAGGAAACTAGATAGTAAAAAAGATGTCTTTCTGTCCTGAAAGAGTGAGCCAGCTTCTTAAGCATGTTACCAATCTTAGCCATTGGTTGCTTTCAAAACCCTGTATCTATTCCCAGCCAATAGTGTGCTTTTAGAACATAGTGTATCTCCCCAATCCTTCCTAACCTGTCATGTATCAAACAAAAGCAAAACAATAGCAACAACAAACAAACAAAAGAGAAGAAAAAGTGCCCCTTACCTAAAGAGCATTCTATGTCCAAAAGCATGGTCTTTTACCTGTGCGAGTATCGGCCAGTTGGCCAATGACGGTTTGCTCCTTTTCAAAAGGTGGAGAGATGGCTCAGTGGGTAAAGAGTGACCATTTAGCATGTGACATGCAAGATCCTGGCCTTGAACTCCAGCACAGTAAAACCAATCAATCAATCAGTCATAGGAGGCAATGGAAATCTGTGTTAGTCAGCTTTCTGTTGCTTTGATAAAATACCCCAGATAACCAAAGGAGGACAAATTTCTTTTAGCCCATGATTTCATCAATGGTTGCTTGACTCCTTCGCTTTGGGTCCTACACTAAATCCAGTAATATGCATAAATTTATTTGCAGTTATAAGCACCCAGCACACCTTAGCTTTGATATCATAACTGCCTATCACAGCCTATAGTGCCGACAGGTTTTGGTTTGGTATGTTAATACATGTGTGGGTCACTCTTTTCTTTTTCTAGGTTCGCTTTAAAAATTTAGCCTCCAGACCATATTCTCTTCATGCCCACGGACTTTCCTATGAAAAGTCCTCTGAGGGAAAGACTTATGAAGATGACTCTCCTGAATGGTTTCAGGAAGACAATGCTGTACAGCCCAATAGCAGTTATACGTATGTATGGCACGCCACGGAGCGCTCTGGGCCAGAGAACCCTGGCTCTGCCTGCCGGGCTTGGGCCTACTACTCTGCAGTGAATGTGGTAGGTTTCAAGTTCTGATCTCTCCCCTCACTGGATAGCTACAGTTCATTGTTTCATGTTAAAAGCCTGCCCTGCAAGCTGATGGGTTGTGGCTCACACCTTAAATCCCAGCATTCAGAGGCAGGCAGATCTCTGTGAGGCCAGCCTGGTCTACAGAGTGAGTTCCAGGACAGCCAGGGATACCCAGAGAAACCCTGCCTTGAAAAACTAAGAGAAGAGGTGTGCGGGGGGGGGGGGGGGGGGGGGGAGCCTCCTGTGCTTTTTATCGGATATGTGACAGGGCTGCCATTCACAGTACGGCTGCCACATCCAGGGATTCTCCACACAGTTCATCGGATGTGGCACAGAGAAAAGGGTTCTTATGTAGGACACCATGAGGATTACATAAATGAGGGAACAGAGTGTGCTCACAGAGAACCGTGCTCTCTTGCAATTTAAATGTAGTATGTCTTAAGCCAGACTTTGTGATATTCCAGGAGGTTGGGAGGGCACAAGGGAAGGACTGAGCCAACAGTGAGGGCACAGATCCCATGCTGGGGTTGGGAGTTTAAGGAGGAATTTTTTTTCCCTGCTCCACTTGGGCCATGAGGAGATTAAATTTGTTACTTAATGAGTGGCCTTTGCTAATAAAGAACAAAGTGATAAGAAATATCACTTTGAGTTAATAAGCTCTGAGTTAAATAAGGACACAGGGAGGAGGCTGCAATGTTCCTGGAGGAATAATCCAGGCACATTCCATCCTGCCCAGCTCCCACAGGAAGGTAGAAACAATTAGTTTCTCTGGGCAAACTAGCAACTGTGTTGATCATGACAAACTGTGCCCACCTCCCATCTTCTTGGCTGGTCTTGGGTGCCCAGGAAACTCAGAAGGAAGCCAGCATCCATGCCATTCCCACTGGACAGCTCAGCTGCTGTCTTTTCTCCTGACCTTCAGAAAGGCCCTTGCACAGTGAGACACCCAAACACGGGTGGTTGAAGCTCTACCCAGGTTCACAGCCAACAGAACACAGAGCCTTCTCCCAGCCCTCCTCCAGGCAAAGAGCAGCTTGGCTTCAGATTTGCCCTCAAAGACAGGTTTCTTTGCTAGGACAAGGTATCTAGACAGTTTCCTGGGGTTCCTCTTTGTACCTGGACCAGTGGTTTAGGCTGATGTTTACTAGAATCAGGGGTGCTAGAGAACTCCTATACATTTTGGGGGTGGGGTTAAGGCTGTCACAGGCCAGTTCATGTGAAAGGCCTCTCATGTAACAAAGGAACACAGCCCATATCAAGAGAAGAGGGGTCCCTGGGTCGCCTCCTTAACTCAGTGCTACAAGAAATACCATGCTTGTCTCTGGACATCTGGGACCCCTTGAACACTGGTGATGCTCCTGGGGAAAAGGCATCCCGACATGGAATATCCAGGGCTGCCATGTCTTGTACTTACCTACCTTCACCACTTGGGGACTAGATACAGCATGGCACAGGCAAGGGTGAGGGGGAAAAGATCTGGCCACCCAACCCTTGTGCCACCCTGTCACGGAGGATGCAGCTGCCTACTGGACCCCACACCCACCCAGCTGGCCCTCTGGTTGCAGAAGTAGGGTGTGGCTCTCAAAATTGCTTTTGAACAGTATTTGTAAGCTTTTATATGCTGTTCACTGAAAATTCAAAGATCCTTCATTTATCATTCCACAATGCATACGTTGTTCAAAACAACATGTTGCATGTAGTAAATATACACATGGGTTTTTCAGTGAAGAGAGAGAGCTGGAGGGGAGGGAGGGAGGAAGAGACAGACAGAGAGAGAGAGAGAGAGAGAGAGAGAGAGAGAGGAGAGAGAAAGATTCATCTTTTGATAGTAGAAAGAGCACAGATTCTGTTTCTTATTTATTTGTTGATATTGTTATTCGGTGCTGTTTTTTCAATACTCAGCATCAAACCCAGGGCCTCCTATGTGCTCAAAGACACTCTACTGCCACCGCCCACCCCTCCCCAAACACACGTGCTTTTGGATTAGATGTAAATACCCATCTGTCACAACAGGGACACTAGGAAAATGATTTGCACTTCATTAACCTCAGGCTCTAAAATTAGGGGGGAGAAAGGTAGGAGCTGTGTGTGGTGGTGAAGATCTGTAATTTCAGCAACTCAGGAGGCTGTGGGATTGGCTCAGTGTATTCAAGGATGGTCTGAGCAATTTAGTGCGAGCCTGTCTTTAAAAAAGATTAAAAAGAAGCTAGGAAAATCAATTCAGTTCCCAATATCAAAACAGAGAGGGACATCTTTAATCCCAGCACTCAGGAGGAAGAGGCAGGTGGATCTCTGTGAATTCAAGACCAGCCTGGTCTACAAGAGCTAGTTCCAGGACAGCCTCCAAAGCCACAGAGAAACCCTGTCTCGAAAAACCAAAAACCAAAAAACAAAACAAAACAAAACAAAAACAGAGAGGGAAAAAAGGAAGTGTGGCGTGGGGAGGTTAATAGACACCTGTTCAATAAATGTATTTCCATTTGCCATTAGGGACAGCTGCCAAGATTAAATGAAATACTATAGGCAAGCCTTTAATACAGTATAGATGCTCAGTAAATGGTATCCATTTGGTTGTCGATTTTATTCTTATTACTCAGATAAAGGACAACTACCCAGACTTAGTTATTACTGATCTTCAAGTTTGGAGGCTCTTAGATGAGATTTCCTTTTGTGTAAGAACTGGGATTGCCAGAAGAGAAAATAAAAATATCCTGATGGAAAGCAAGTGTTTATAGTTTGCTCTTCTTGTCTTCCAGGAGAGAGACATCCACTCGGGCTTAATTGGCCCCCTTCTGATCTGCCGGAAAGGGACACTTCACCCGAAGAGCAAACTGCCAATGGACATGAGGGAATTTGTCTTACTCTTCATGGCCTTTGATGAAAAGAAGAGCTGGTACTACGAAAAGTTTAAAAGGTCATGGAGAATCGAATCTCCAGAAGTGAAAAATTCCCACAAATTTTACGGTATTTTCCCTCTGACTTTGATCTGCTCTGATTAAGTCTCACCAGGTCACAAGATTAAGCCTCAGCAATTCACAAAGATTCCTGACCTTAGGTCTTCACAACATTAGATTTTAGCTGTTCCTGAGGAGCCCAGAGCAACAATTAAACCTGGCTCCTCAGCATCCTAGAGAGCAGATCTGGCCCATAAGAAACCCTGCTAAAGAGTGTAGAGAGAGTGCTGGATAGCACGCACTGGCTGGCACCAGACAGCATGCAAGAAAATGGGTACTGTGCTCCAGATGGCAGCATACATAGGAGTGGGCGTGATACCACTCTACTCTTTAAGACATCAATGACCCTGTTTCTTGTTGTCTAAAACAATCAGTATTTACACTGATACATTCATGTGTGAATGATCATCATGTGTCTCTTCTGAAATCCTTTCCTTTCCCACCTCCCATCTCTAGGCCTGTCAGTCCTGAAGTTTGCTTCCTTTAGAAACCCCCTCAGCCTAGTAAGATACCACAGGCTGCAGAATCAGATGGGCTGTCTCTTGGCCATGTCCTTTGCTTAAGGAACATCCTCCAGGAAATGTTTCCTGATTTCCTCAAAAAAAAAAAAGGAGACATTTATTATAGTTTCAATCCTAAACACATTGTTGTCTAATTCTTGGACATTTGGTGATCCCAACGAGTAGTATTTATTGGGGTATGTGACAAACAGACCTCTGGAGCTCCCCAGACCCTAGCTCGGCGTCTGGCTTTTGTAGCATGTGCTCAGGAGTTGTATGAAATGGAACACATCCTCCTTTTCATCTCTATCAAATATTCATTGAGCACCTCTGTTGAGTCTTCATTCCATGTCCTGGTGCAGCCACTGAACAATGCTGATGTTATGATCACTCCCAATACCCTTCACTCTTTTGACATCTAATTCTTTAACAGAACCTGAAGCATGGGCGAGAGCTGGTGTTATGTGTTGAAGGTGATTAAGGTTATCAGGTGCTTTAAACACACATACACACACAAACATATATATATATATATATATATATATATAGAGAGAGAGAGAGAGAGAGAGAGAGGTATTGTGCTCAAGGATAACACAAGAAGATCTTGAGTTCAAGGTCACCTTGAGCTAAAGAGAGTTCCAGGCTAGCCTGGGGTATATATATCAAGACCCCATCTAAAACAAACAAACAAACAAAATCTACCTATTTCACTAAAGGGAAGGTAGATACAGCATGGCAATCTTAGAATCTGACCTGAGAAGTGAGTAGAGGAGAGTATGACACACTGCTACCTGTCATTTACTCTCACCCCAGGGGATTGCATTATCTGCCCATTTTCATTTTCTGCATCAAAGGGACATTTATACTATCAATGCGAAGGGCAAAAATGGACAGAGTCTTAAGCAGGAGAGGGACAAAATCTTGGAGAATGAGAGAAAAACTGTTCTGAAGCGGAAGTGGCCCACACTTTTGTAGGTGTTTGTCAAGTAGCCTAAGGATTTGGAAGTTCTGATTCAGCCTTGCATTGGTTATGTGAAACCACCAAGGGCCCTTTCTATGCCTGGGTAGGCCTAGGAATGCCCAGTAATGAGGAAGCTGGGTAGGGAGTGGGTGGTTTACCCTGCTCCTCCTTGTGCATACAAGTTTTTAATTGATTACAACTCTCTTTCCTTCCAGCCATTAATGGGATGATCTACAATCTGCCTGGCCTGAGAATGTACGAGCAAGAGTGGGTGAGGCTCCACCTGCTGAACATGGGCGGCTCCCAGGACATTCATGTGGTTCACTTCCATGGCCAGACCCTGTTGGATAATAGCACCAAACAGCACCAGTTAGGAGTCTGGCCCCTTCTACCTGGTAAAGATCTGGGCAGTGGAAGAGGTCCCCACTGAGAAACAGCAGGACGGGGCACCTGTAACTTCCTCTCCTTGTACATCTACTATTTCAGGGAAGATTCTGGTCTAGATGTCAGGCAATGCCTTGTTTCTATGCTATACACATACAGAGCACAAACCAGATCTCCTATGAGCTGTGTAGGCACCTCTTAAGACAGGTTTGTGAGCCCGCTTAGGTCTTCAGAGATTCTGTATCTCATGCAGCTTCTCCTGGGCATCTGTGTGACACAAGAATCAGATATCAGTACATAACAAATAAGTCACCAAGGCACAAAGAAAGAAATATTGCTGCTGGGAGGTTGATTAGGACCTTAAACTGGCTCTTCTGGATTCTTGAATTCTACTTCTGAAACCTTCACCCTAACCTTTCTGGGTAAGCGATTCTGGGAGTCATAATCTTGAACAGATTCATGGCTGTGGAGAGCAAGCCTTTTAATGATTGTAAAAGCTAACGGGTATTTAGAGCTTTTCATGTGAAAACTTGGTAATTAATATAGATCTAAACAAACAGAAATCATCAGGAAAGATTTTTGTTGTGTCACTGAGTTGTTTGTAGGGAAATCTGCTAGTGAATGGGGTGATGAGGGTGAGATACCACTGAAGAACCCAATACTCTAGTTAAGACGCACATCTATTGAGACTTTCCTCTCTGAGACTTTAAAAACCTATAGATCATGGAGAGGAGACCCAGGATTCTGCATCTCTTGCAAGTAGCTGCCCTCCAATACATACTGTCTGAGGAACTAATGAATGAAGCAATCCCTTCACAGGAGTTGGGGAGTGGAAGTCATTGTGTGAATTGGTCTCTTATATGGACACAGAGGTCCAGTGGGTCTATTTTACTAAATACAGGGAGAGATGGCTTCTTGTTTGGTTCTCAAGAGCCATTCCCTAAGAGATCAGGAAAAAAATAAAACTTTTGTTGAACTTCAGAGACAGGATGAACCAGGCCGAATTCACCCCATCTTTTCACCAAGTGTTAGCAAGTGAGTGATTCATTGCAAAGTGAGTGACCTGAGAAGCTAAGGTTGAGCAACCCACATAAATCTTCAAACAAAAATGACATTTCAGAAAGGAACATGTGAGATCTGATTCACTGTGTTTGAGATGGACAGCCATCAGCTGTTAATTTTTACCCACAGTCTGGGACATGGTTATAAGTTATAGTTAATAGAATTTAAGTATAAGATCAAATGGAAGACAGTGGACATTAAGTGTCAGTACAAATAAACAGAAGTTTTAGAAACTTTTTCCATTTTTTCTGAAATAATTTATATATGTTTTATCTAAGTATGTACACTTCAAGAGGATTTGAAACCATAAGGCAAGGATATTTTTATTCCTTACATATTAAAAAGTAAAAAGAAAACATATTCTATAACTCTAAAGTTGGGTGACAACTCATTCTAGGTCATTTTGAAACTTGAAATGTGTTTTTGAATTGTATATAGGCTAATTTGTAATGGTGTGTTTAGATAAATGAAAATTCCTTTTTAAGGAGGGCTGATAAGTTTGTTGTTGTTTTTTTTAATATAGGGTGATCTATTTTTAGCAGTTTCTTTCTTGATTTGTATTTGCTCCATGGTTTGTTTGCTCAAAATAAAGTCCATGTATCCCCATGAAGTGATAGATGGCTTGAACTCCTGGCCCTTCTGCCTTCTCCTTCTGAGTCCTTTGACTAGAGGCATATACTGGGGTGCCCAGTTTATAAGGTTCTTGGTAACACAGAGCTTTGTGAATTTTAAGCAAACATTCTCTTGACTGAGTATGTCCACACCCTTGGTTTTGTTAATTTGTGGATGCTGGTGTTATAGCTGTTGTCAGATTCACTTTTATCTGTAATGGCCTCAAGAGAAAAGAATCACTCTCAAATTCTCCCCTGCAGCTTCTTGTGACTTTAAGATTCTCAGAGAAAAGCTCCACCACAATATTGATTTAATAGTCATTAAGTTTGTAATTTTCTCTTTCACTCTCTATTTTAGGTTCATTTAAAACTCTTGAAATGAAGGCATCAAAGCCTGGCTGGTGGCTCCTGGACACAGAGGTTGGAGAAAACCAGATAGCAGGCATGCAAACGCCCTTTCTCATCATAGACAAAGGTATCACCCATGTGACATTTACTGGTGAGGGGGTATCTGATAATAGGAATTTCCAATTTCCAAATATATGATTCTTACAAATGTCTGATTCTCATCATTCTGTTGTGACAATGACACAATGACCTTTTTTTTCTGGTCATTAAAAACTTAACAATTTATCTGTAAAACCCTAACAGATGGATCAAGTATTTCATGACTGGGGAAACCAATAGAAAGTGTGCTTCCCATTGGACCGAACCAAGCCTTCTGAATGTTGGTGTCAGTTAGGAGGCCTGGGCAGTCTATGAGACCTCTGACATTAGAACCAGTATTTATCCCTGGTGCATAAATGGACTTTGGGAGCCCATTCCCCATGGATGGTTACTCTCTCAGTCTAGATACATGGGGGAGGGCCCTCCCCCAAATGATATGACAGACTTTGATGATTCCCCCAAGGAAGGCCTCACCTTTCCAGGGGAGTGGATGGAGGGTGGGAGGGGGTTTGGTGGTGGGTACGGGAGGATGCGATGGAGAGGGAACTGGGATTGATATGTAAAATAAGATTGTTTCTAAATTAAATTTTAAAAACAGACAAAGGGGGAAAAAAAGGAAGTGTGCTTCCTCAGGATTTTTAACCCATGGGAAATATACGTAAGAAAATCTTCAAGTTCCTAGAGTAAAGCAGAAAGAGAAACCAGGATTCTGTAATAATGGGAAGTTTATCCATCCATTCATTATTAAGTCTTGTCAATCATCTGTTGACTACCAAACAGTGTGTTCATATCCAGGTACCCACTAACCGGTATTTCCTCCCTTGAGCAAGATATAAATAAATTTGTAATCTCCAGGCCAGTAGCCAAGAGTGCAGTCTTAGGAAAAACAGTACTTAATGTCATTACTTTGTTTTAAAATCCACCCAGACAGAAATCAATTTAAAAATGTTTTTTAAGACTCCATTTATTTTCTCCTGTGGTAGTCACTATTTTAATAAGCACCAGTATTGCTGAGTTCTTATCACTTTCTGATCATGTCTATTAATGTCACTGTCATGAAAGATAAGTGAAAACAGTCTCTGGCCATGGAGGTTTTACTTATTATATATTTCTAAGCAAAAACTGACTGATTTTTGTTTTTGTTTTTCATAGGGTGTAAGATGCCAATGGGACTGAGCACTGGTGTCATATCTGATTCACAGATCAAGGCTTCGGGACATTTGAGTAAGTAGTAATGTCATAGCCTGTGACTGGCGATGCCTGCATTGTGCAGTATGTAGCTCATGAAGCTATACATGGGAACCTGACCATGGGCCAGTTCCTCTCTCTAGGCTACCATCTGCCTCAGTTCTAAGGAAACAGCTCTGTCTGTGGCTCTCCTCTGGTAGTGTAAGAAATACAGCAGGCACTAGAAATCATATTAATACACTTATCATTTCCACTCCCCAGAGGGTCTTCTCTAGGAAACACCAAGAACTCAGCATTGCTGATATCTCTACCTAAGTAGCCCATAGCTCTGCAAGGATTTGGCATGAAAGTAAACAGCTTAATCTAATGACCATGTGATCATTTTCCAAACCCCATTTATCTTGCCTAGATTGTCTTATACACATATAACCTCCAGCCAGATTCACAGGGTTTTAGCATCCAGCAAAGAAGGTCCCAGTGCTTATGCTACCATTCATCTAGTCAAGAAATGTTATGATTGGAACATCTCTTAAACGTATTCATTCTGCCTCGGATACATTCCTGGGATCTAGAGGCCACCATCAAGAGCATAATGAGGCTCCTCCCATGGATTCCTCCCAAATCTTCCTGTTCAGTAGGCACATTTAGTGGTAGCCATATCAACATGAATGAGAAAACACAAACATGGACCTGTGTGCAAGAAAGGGTGGATGATGCTTTACAGCTGACTAAACACGGCCTGAAGCCAAGGTTTCATCACTGAGGGCTGGTTTGGCAGCCAATGCCCATGCCACCTGCCTGGTCTCCTAACTATAGCACAGATCCCCCAAGGATCTGCTTCTCTGCTGGACTAAACTTACTTAAGAAATTGGTGATTTTCTATTAAAAAAAAAAAAGCAAACTTCAAGCTAGACATGGTAGTACATGAGGCAGAGAGACTGTGAGCTTGGGTCATATTATAAGACCTTCTCTCAAAAAAATAAATAAATTCACAATTCATTTTTTCTTTTTTTGAATTTAGATTATTGGGAGCCCAAATTAGCACGGTTAAACAATGGTGGCTCGTATAATGCTTGGAGTATAGAAAAATCTGCATTAGACTTTGCCTTTCAATCTTGGATCCAGGTATGTCTTACTACCCTGATAATAATGACTGCTATTATGGCAAAAATGGCAGTGGGTTAGTAGTTTCTTACAATGGTGTTAAAGAAAACAGCAGTAAGTGGTGGTAGTTACCATTCTCAGCACTTTGCTTCCTCATATCAACCCTGGGAGGTAGCTCCAGTGATTTTTCAATCTAAGAAAGAAAAACCCAGACAAAGGTATCAACTGCCTTCCCAAGGTAAAACACACCTATAGCCAGTGCCTCAACTGACACTCAAGTCCAGATGTGCTTTGCTCGACTGTGGATCGTACCTGGCCATTTTATGAGTTCGCTAAGAGCTTGGGCATTGTCTAGTGCTAAAGAAAGCTGATTATAGCATGAGTTATGACAAGGTGTGACTCACCAACAAGGATGGTTCTGTTTATTGACTTGGCTGTATTGCAGGTGGACATGCAGAAGGAAGTTGTAGTCACAGGCATACAAACCCAAGGTGCTAAACACTACCTAAAGTCTTGCTTTATCACGGAATTCAATGTGGCCTACAGCTCTGACCAAACCAACTGGCAGATCTTCAGAGGGAACAGCACAAAGAACACGATGGTTTGTGCACCTGTTTCTCACTAAATCTTAAGACTTACCCTGGGGTTTCCTTAGCAGTATCCTTCACAATTAAATTTCAGGGCCTTTGAAATGTGAATGGTTTTCTAAGGGTCCTGGTAAGTAAAAATGGCAATAGATGATAAGTCTGTATATTACAAATTAAAAGGATACATGGAGCTACTAAAACTTCAGATCTCCACAAAACCTGAGAGGAAAAACTCATTTAAGCAAGCACCCCTACAAAGTACTATCAGGTGGTGTAAAACAGTGTCCGCCCTTGATCAACACAGAGCCTATCTAGAAACGGCCCTCAAAGAGTTTTGATTTCACTATCATATTTTATTTTGTCCTTTATCTAACATACCTTAATTTATGGTGATTATGATTTTGCAGTGGTTCTCTGAGGCAGTGTGATTCTCAGGCTGCCTGAAGACTGATGTCCTCCTTCCTGGTCCTCCACGAGCCCAGCCAAGATTCCTAGATTATCCCCTTGTCCCCAGCCTCCTCCCCAAAGGAAAACATTTAAAATCAGAGAGACTGTCCACTGCCATTAAACCAACCATCTTCAATCTGTTTCTATTGATATTCTATGGAAACCATTTACCATAGGCTACTTTTTCCTTTGCTCCCTCAGCTAGTTCTAACAGTGACACATTTGTAATGTAGTTTAGATGAAAATCTTAAATTATGGTGCTTATAAGTCAGTAGTGGGAGAGGAAACACAGATAACAGTCGACATCATACCTTAGGGATTTTCACATCCATATTTATGTGTCGTTTGACTGTTTTGCCCTGTTTCTAACTTCAATAGCACAGTGATAGAAGACTTGAAAAGTAAATCAAGGCACATTCCTTTCCCTTCAATGCTAAGGTTGAGATTTCTAAAATTCATATTAATTCACTCATTTGTCCTAAACCACCCACAAACCCACCTGGACCTTAAAATCTCTCTGTGGGAAGTTTAAATTTTTTAAATTCACTTTCTTTCATTAGTAGTTTGAAGGTTATTTGAACTGTCTATTTTATAACAGTTCATAAAACTGGAGGTGAGTTGAGTTGTGATACTTTTTTTTTTGGCTTTTTGAGACAATGTTTCTCTGTATAACAGCTCTGGCTGTACTGGAAGTAGCTCTGTGGACCAGGCTGGCCTCAAACTCACTGAGATCTGCCTGCCTCTGCCTCCCAAGAGCTGGGATTAAAGGTGTGCACCGCCACTGCCCGTCGAGTTGTGATACTTTTCGAAGCTCTTAAAATATGAACTGGCCCCTTTCCTCTAAATTGTGGGTCACATGTGTAGAATCTGTCGTTTTGGTTGTCCTTGGATGTCCTCCCGACATCTGCAGGGGCTGTAGCAACATTGCCTACTTCATTTGTGAGATCATAATCTCTCACTTCTTTTACTTTTGGGTCAGGCCTGCTGGGGTTTGTTTTTAGTCTTCTCCAAGCACCAGCTTTTTTATTGATTTCCTCCTATTGTTTAAGTGTGCAAAGTCTCCTCTTGGCTTCCATTTTAGCTGGGCATTCGAGTCAGTGAAAGGGAGGTGGGGCACAGCCTGGTGACTTCCAAGTAGGTGGTCAGAGTCCAAGCTGTCACTGGGCACCTTAGGAGGCATTATTTCTCCTGGCTGCTAGGTAGGAGCAGAGTTCCACACTGGCTTCTCCTGACACTGCTGAGCGATCCTGCCTAAGATCTGCAGAGACAGTGTCCTGGGCTCCTACTTTGGCCTTCTCTAATACCCTAGGATGGTTCCAGTCCCTCTTCAGTGCTACAAACCTAAAAGTCTAATCCTTCATTACAACTGTTACTCCAGTGCTTGGGTTGTATCTAGGTTTTGTTTGTTTTTCTACGATAGTTGGCTAGTATCAACAGTTATCTAGTGTGATTGTTGCTGTCTTCATCTCTAAGCCTGAGACATGTGAAGTAAACGGAAAGCCTGGGGCCCCAGGACCATGCTATTCCCTTTCTCTGAAAGGCTTAGCTGGCTGCTCTGCTTTCTTCATACCTTCTTCCCATCTTCATTGGCATCTTTTGTGTATAGTCCAGGGTTTCTGGATCTACATAACAAAGGGAATAGAAGAAAGTGCATGGCACCAGTTCCCTGAAGGAGAAGTATCCACACATCAGTTTTTCATACCAAATTGAATTGATTCAGTTCCCATGAAAGAACCTTACAAAACCTGTTAGATGGGTTTGCTATAAATCCAATCAGCTTATAGAGAATGGTTATCAATGCTTTCCTCTTTCCCTCTAGGATTTTGCTGGCAATTCAGATGCCTCTACAATAAAAGAGAATCAGTTTGACCCACCAATTGTGGCTAGATACATCAGGATACATCCAATAAAGTCCTACAATAGACCTGCCCTTCGCCTAGAGCTTCAAGGCTGTGAAGTGAACGGTAAGGGACTGGAAGCATCACCTTCTCACAGCCACTCCAAGACTCAAGACTAGAATTCTTAGATACCTTCAGTGACTTAGGCTCCAGAAAAATCTTTGCAAAACACAAGCCCCAATCCAGGATGTTCTCTGGATGGTCTAAACAGAGACGGAGCCTGGTTCCCATAGTTAGGAGGTAGGCATGGTATCACTAAAGGATGTCTACATGATGTGAGCACTACCATGGCGTCATCACGGCCCTATAAGGAAATGGTCTTGGTTGGAACTGTCACGATCAGCCCATTTTCAGTGAGAGCTACCTGACTCTTTCAAAGCCCCCTAGGCCACTCAGATTTTAATGAAGGAGCCACATCACTGGCCTATTTTTGGAGTTGGGTGAGTGTTTTTTAATCTGAACCTGGTTTCCTGTTTCTGGAACCACGAGTGTGCTCTGTATTCTGTTTTGGACCCTGTATAAGTACTCAAGTCTTTCCAAACTTCGTTGTTTTTTCAGGGGATGAAATTTGGCTTGTGATCTAACCAAATCTGAGTCATAAGAAGCAGTCATAATAATAATGGTCTACTGACTGTTCTCTGATTTTGGTTTATTTTGGTTTTTCTGGGTTTTTTTTGGGGGGGGCGTTGAGACAGGGTTTCTCTGTGTAGCCTTGGATGTCCTGGAACTTCACTCTATAGACCAGGTTGGCCTTGAACTCAGAGATCCACCTGCCTCTGCCTTCTGAATGTTGGGATCAAAGGTGAACACCACCACTGCCCAGCTTGTTCTCTGATTTTTGAAGCACAGCTATCCAGTATTTTTGACTTTCAGGCATATATAGAAAATACTATCATCGTCCAGGCATTCTGAGGTAAAAGACTAAAGCAATTGGCCCAGGACTTGACTGACCCAGGCCTCAGATGACTGTTAAAAAACTGAGTAGGTGAAGAGACTTATAGTTGCATGCTGTGTCATGATCTTGTAAGCTACATCATCTTTCCCTGAGGTAGGGGAGGGAGCCCTGACTCACTGTGAAGAAAGTACCTGAATTTTGAAACCAGATTCTTACCCAAGCAGATAATGCTGCACTTGACATTTGTGAGAGATATGGATATGGACATTTGCCAGTATCTAAATACTGGTAGTGTATAAAAGTGCCCACGCAAAATTTTGTGTAGGAAGGATTACTCCATGAAAGAAAACTATAAGTCATTGGAGTTTTGTTTCCATAATTATAGTGTAAATGGTAGCTTTGTTCAATCATGTAGTCTAGCTAACCTACAATGTGAAGTTCAATTCTTTAATTTATTGAAAACATTCATTTTCTACATAATAAGCATTGCTTTTTTCCTCCAGTTTTTGGAACTTACATAGTGAGCAGTACAGGTTCCTTTTAGGATTTTTTTTTCACATAGAAAAAGCAAGCTATAGCTTCAAAAACAGAAGTCCATGGTTTTCAAAAAAAATAAAATCAAAGTAGCACTAAGATAAGTAGTCAGCTACCCTGGCTAACTAGCTGTGTTTCCTACATCAACAGGTCAGCTTTGTTGCCTAGAATGCTCAAATTGTACCTTGGCAAAATTCCAGAAAGTGCATGTATTCAAATTTTTGAAAAGGAAAACATTAACGGTGACTACCAAAGCTCCACTTCATCTTCTAGTCAGCTTCTGTTAGAAGAAACTGGTTTTGGTTTGTTTGTTTTTTTGTTTTTTATGTACAGCTATGCATTGCTGAACTGTAGGGATCAGTTCTTTGAAAATGCATCTCTAGGCTATTTTGTTATCATGCAAACAAAATAAATTGTGTTTACACAAACCTAGGCAGTACAGGCCAGTCACTCAATGTGGTCTCTTGATGCAGTCAAGAAAAACTATGAATAAGCATAACATGAATGACACAGTTTCACAGTAAGCTACTCTTTTACAAGTAGAAAGGGCATACTCAAAAATAATTAGAAAGTTGAGTAAATACACAAAACAGTTACATTGTGGTTTATTATTAACTGTACATATTTCTTTTTTGTTTTTTGTTTCTCAAGACAGGGCTTCTCTGTGTAGCTTTGGAGTCAATCCTGTAGATCAGACTGGCCTTCAACTCACAGAGATCTGCCTGCCTCTGCCTCCCGAGGGCTGGAATTAAAGGCATGTGCCACTTTCCGGCTGAATAATTTTATGTACTATACAAATACACATGTATCAACACAATAGAATGATTTATATGGGCACCATCACACACACACACACACACACACACACACACAGGTTATATGTTATTTATGACAACTATGATGTCACAAGACATCAGCTCCATAGTCTAATGGGACCACTATTATTTGTGTGCTCTGTTATTAACTAAAATGTCATTATGCAGCATGTGATGGTACATGGATTTTTCAGAACTACCATCTACCTCAAAACAAAGACTGACAATTGCATGACTGTCTGAAGAAGGGAGTATCCATACTTAGGATATAGTATTTGGTGATATACTGGCATTAAATTCAGTTTCCTGTTCTTCTGACTGTCTTGCGTTGGGCAAGTTACTGTATCTTGCTGTACTCTATGTTCTTCTGTCAAATAGGCTGAATATGAGCATTGAACAGTATATTTGTAGCACCAGAGCACAATTTGCACTTGAATTGAACAAATGTTCTTTGTTTCGATTGTTTTGCTGTTCCCTGGGAGTGGTATTTCTCGCCTCCTCTGTTGCAAAATGCAATGCAGCGACTATTAGCTCTGTGTAATTAATCACATTACTTTCCGCTTGACAGGATGTTCCATGCCACTGGGCCTGGAAGATGGAAGGATAGAAAACAAGCAAATCACTGCATCTTCATTTAAAAAGTCATGGTGGGGAGACTACTGGGACCCCTCCCGTGCCCGCCTGAATGCCCAGGGCCGTGTGAATGCCTGGCAAGCCAAGGTGACAGCAACCATATAAATGGTGTTCTCTTGCCGCCCAGAAACAAAAATGACCACAACCACAGGGGACTTGGGGGCAGCCGAGAGTCTAGGATGACTTGCAGAATCAAACAGCTGCATCTCTAACCATGGCTCCCAGCAAAGTCTTCACTAAAGTTCTTGGTCAGGCTTTGACTAAAAACAGGAAGGGACAATAGTTTGCAAAGAGCAAGAGAGTAAATTTAGACTTTCAGATAATTTGGAAATGAATTCTTTTTGTTTCAAGTAGAATTCAACTATGTATTCATCCAACAGCTATTTGTTAATCACTGTGTACCTTGCATTGCTATGAATGCAGTGTGGGGGGAACAACTAAATAAGCTCTCACCCTAGAACAGCAAGGGACCTTATAAAGCATACAGTTATTGTATACGGTATGGAATACATAAGTAGAAATTAATTTTTTTAATTGGTATACAAAGTAATAGGCTTTATTGTGGCATTTTCATGCGCATGTGTCATCATACTTTGTTCTTAATCATTCTCCTTCAGCACTGTCAAACATAGTCTATTTCTCTATTCCCCCATCATGGTCCATAACAATAAATAAGAGATCACAGGGAAGTCTTCTACCAGACAGTGACTCCTAAGGGAGGAAATGGAGAGGCTTTAGTGCATTTCTAAACATCCTGATCTTAACAAAAAGAAAGGCTTAACATCTTCCTCATTTCACATTTTGCTTTAACCATTTTCATAGGCAAATAACAACAAACAGTGGTTACAAGTTGATCTGCTCAGAATCAAGAAGATCACTGCCATTGTAACACAGGGCTGTAAGTCTCTGTCTTCGGAAATGTTTGTGAAGAGCTACAGCATCCAGTACAGTGACCAGGGCGTGGAATGGAAACCGTACAGGCAGAAATCCTCCATGGTGGACAAGGTACGGGATGCCATGTTGGCAAAGTGGTACTGTTGGAAAACTAAGAGAAGCATCCTCATTTGACAAGGCTGATTATGTACCACCACCACCACCCCCCAGTCTTCACAATCCCCATTCTACAGGTCTTAGCAGGGGGACCATTTGTGTCACTTTTCTGTCTTAGCCACCTGTGAAATGGGCGGAGGAGGGGGGTGGCAAAATGCCAGGGGATGCAGTGTGGCTTTCATTACCTCTGAGAATGGTGAACCTGTCCAGAAAACCTTCTGCTAAATGATAAAAACATTGCTGCAGGTAGAGTCAGTGCTTGTAGCAAATCAGATGCCCAAGACCACAAGCCTTTGCGTGTCATGCTGCTGTTAAACATTTGGGAAGACTACACTTGTGGTGAAATTAACTACTCCATTACAATCCTAAGTCCCTCTACCTATTACCAGGTGGTTAAACAATGCTGCCAGAAGCAAAGCCAAGAAAATATGCCTAGTGTTCCAGGAATGGGAACTGAGCTAAAACTAGTAGGAAAACTGTTAGGAATAAAGCGCATGGGGGACCTTGGCAGATTCCATGGCAGGCAAGGGACAAACATGCCAGGAGACAGAGCTTAAGAGAGAATTTTATTAGAAAGGGAAGGGAATGGAGAAATGGAAGGGAGAAGGTGAGAGAAGAGAAAGAGAGGGAGGGGAAAAGAAAGAGAGACAGAGAAGGGGGGGAGTCCTGTCTGCCTCTTCAGAGGAACAGCGGGAAAGAGGGCAGGAGTGGGCAGGGTTTTTTTTCTTTTTCAAGGGTCCTTTGTACCTGTGTGCAGACCATGTAGTGACAGTGGAGTAGCAGCCATGGAACCCTGGGCTGACCAGAGTACTGCCTGTGTGCATTCTTCCAGGTGTCAGAGGGCAGGCTAGCATAATGCCTGAATCCTTACAAAACAACCCAGGGAGGGGAACTTAGGTTTACTGCATTATAATTAAATGCTCAGCACTGAATAAATTTGTTCCCCTTTCTCACTTTTTAAATCCCTGGCAGTGTGTTTTATCTTGTTATAGAACACTGTCCTCACCCAAGCTATCACAAAGAATTGATGGCTTGTTGCTTGTGTGTGTGTGTGTGTGTGTGTGTGTGTGTGTGTGTGTGTAGATCTCAGGGTACTTCCTGAGGGTGAAAATGGAAAAAAATAGTTGAGAAGAATTGCACACACAAAAAAAGAGAAATTAAAATAAAAATCTCAGAGTCATATCAATAACAAGTTGTTTATTGACATCCACTACATGACCCTCACTAGACACTTGCCATGTATTTACACACATTTTAAAATTCATACAACTTGTTTGAAGCAGTTTTTATTATTCTCACCCTGCTGATGAGGTAATGGAGTGCAAAGGAATGCAATGACTTTTTCAAGGTCACATGGTGACAAAGAAGCTAAAGAAGTTTACAAATACTCATGTCAGGTTTATTTATTTTTCCTAATTTGATACACATCATTAAGAAATGAGCATCTTTCTGTTGTTGTTTTTGTTTTGTTTTGTTTTTTTCAAGACAGTGTTTCTCTATATTGCTTTGGAGGTTGTCCTGGCACTCTCTCTGTAGACCAGGCTGGCCTCAAACTCACAGAGATCTTCCTGCTTCACGAGTGCTGGGATTAAAGGTGTGCATCACCAAACGCCTGGCTTACATGAGCATCTTTAAGGGGACATTGATCTGGCTTGTGATTTAGTAATTTACTGATAATGATAAAAAAAATTGATGACTGACTCTATTATAAGAGGATTTAAAAAAATAAAGACGAAACATGAATGTCCATGATGCAAACGTTGACAATTCTATCATGTTTTCCTTTCAGGTCTTTGAAGGAAACAGTAATACCAAAGGACATGTGAAGAACTTTTTTAACCCACCCATCATTTCCAGATTTATCCGTATCATTCCTAAAACCTGGAACCAAAGTATTGCACTTCGCCTGGAACTCTTTGGCTGTGACATTTACTAGAATTGAAACAAAACAAAGGAAAAGAAAGAATAAAAACTGAAGAAACTTCTTAAAGCCTAAACCATTTAGAGTAAGCAATATGTTATGGTTATTTTAAATGTTAACAAATTTTCTGCTATTTTTTTCTAATAGAGAATAAAGTTTATATGAGAAGCTTTTACAATGTTAATTCATCTCTGCTATTGAGATGGCAGCTATTATTTCTTCACTAATTTGAATATAGATGGGAAAATATTAAGTACCAGTGGGACTATGACTGCCTTTTACTCTGATTAAAGATGTTATATAATGTAATAGTTATATAATGGAATAATATGGTTCACTGTAGCTCTTTCAAATCTTGTAGATATTAATAAAAGAGATAATACTTTCAGAAACTGTTCATAGACCTAGAAAACTTTTATTCCTATATTTTCCTTTTAAAAACAAACTATAGTTAGTGAACAATAGAGACTAAGACAGTTTAGGTTTTTTTGATAATGAAGTGAGAACTTAAAATGCCCTGTGTTGGGCTGGCTTGCCAAAACCTGATGGCCTGAGTTCAAGTCCAGAAACCCACAGTGCAAGGAGAGAACTGATTTTGAACAGCTGTCCTTTGATCTCCCCCATGCAGCTGTGGCACATGTGTGTCCCCGATCCCACGTACAAGTACTAACAGGAAATAAAAGATTTTATAGGCCCATCTTTCTATGTCAACATGAGTCTCCCGATTCTCTATGAGCAAAGAAACCATTGAGCCTGTTTCTCACATTCTAGGCAGACTTGTAAATCTGTCTTGGCCTTGTTTGGAACAGGTTACGTCTATTGACATCCAAAGGTACCAGCCATCCGACATCAAATAAAACCCAAATAACCTTGGGAGAACTAGTCATGTGTATTGGCTTGTTGGAAAAGCTGGCACTGTGTAACACACTGTTTCAAAACTTGGGTTCACCTCAGGGAAGGCACTTACCTGTAAAGAAGAACACAGAGGCTGTTGGCACAAATGAAGAGGTTCCTGTTAGAGCTGCTTGGGGCCAAATTGGCAAGTGGGTTAAGAGTTCTTTCTGTGCCTTCTTTCTTGCCTCCCCTGGCTCGGCAGCTTCTGTTAACATGTTTTTCTCTGAAAACTTGAAATCTGGTGGTGCTGCACTGCTTGCCTGTCAGTGGAGCCTTTTAGTATCCATAAAGTCACATGGGATGGGCAGTCCATACGGATAGGACAGTCATTCAGATAGTGAAAACTATCGGGTTTTGTGAAATAAACCATTCCAAAGCGTAAGCAAGAATTGTGCAAAATATACATGAGGTAATAGATAAGCTAGATCTACATTGTGCACCACAAATACAATTTGTCTAGATCAAAATATTAATGGCAAAACATCTAATTTATTCTCTTTCATGGTGCTGTGGGTTCACTGGGCTCTGTTGGACAGTAAAATCACGGCCTCTCAACTGGATTCCTACGGGGATTTACATGAGTGCAGAAATTGGAGCAGTGGACGGGGTGATCCTTTCTCTCTTTTGATGTGTCTCAGCTCCAGTCTCCAATACTTGGATTCTGTATGTGGTTGTTACGAAATTGCCCACCCAGTTCCACAGTCACCTTGACCCAAAGAAGCACACGGATGCTATATTAGTTATAATACTGTTGGCCATTAGCTAGGGCTTCTTATTAGCTAGCTCTGTCTTAATTACTAACAAATTTCTATCAATCTATGCATTGCCACAAGGCTGTGGCTTACCCAGTAATGCCTAGCATGGTGTTACTCCTCCAGCAGCCTACATGGTGACTCTGTCCCCTCTGCCTACCTTTCCCAGAATCCTCCTTCTCTCCTAGTCCCGCCTATCTTGCTTCCCTATTGATCAAGAGTGTTTTATTCATCAACCGATAAGAAAAACATTTGTACAGAAGACACCCCCATCATGTGGTCTTCCACTCAATGTTCCCAGTGAGTAGTTGGGCTTTTTTATATGATGGTTAGGGTGTTCTAGGCAAATGCTCAAACGCTAGGAAGAAGAGACCCTCATTCTTCTTAAAGTCTAGGCTCAGAGCAGAGTCATAGCCTCACCTCTGCCACATTCTATTGGGTGAAGCAAGTGAAGAATAGGTGAACCAAGATTCGGTGTAGGAGGAACCATATGGGTGTGCATACCAGAGGGCATTGTTCAGCGAGGGTTTCTTTAGAAACTACCAGTTACCTATTGCATCTTCCAGTGATCCCTGTAGATATGTGTGAGAGCTTTCAACACCCATAGAATAGTGGCTTTCTGGGAGTATTTATATTTCTGTTGTGACTGTTGTTTCATGATTCGTGCTACAATCCTCCCCAAATTTCTCTAAGATTTTCATTTTGTTAACAGCAGCTGAGAATCTGCAGTTTTTTTTTTAAAAAAAAAAATCTCTTTTTCCAACTCTGGCCTGGTGGATTCGCTATTGATTCAATTGCAAAAGGCACTATGTTCAAGGTCTGGACTGAGGTAGCTGCTCAGCTGTCATCCCCTTGACACCTTTAATTTTAAGATAAAAAAGTCTAACATTTATATTTTTAATAAGCCCCATACGTTATAAAGTTAGTCCTGTGTATCTCTAATATAGAATTAGATGGTCTGACCCACCCCCCTTCTCTCTCTCCAGGGTCTTAATATGTAGCCCTGGCTGGTTTGGAACTCTCTAGACAAGGCTGCCCTTGAACTCACAGAGATCCACCTGCCTTGCTGGAATTAAAGGCTTGTGCCACCACACCGGGCTAGGGTTTCTCTTGATCTGAAATCTACTGACGTATAATTGGGGTAATAAATACTATGCGGTACCATAAGAAGGGGATATATAAATGACAATGTAGTGAAACACTTAGCCTTGTTAGCTTGTCTATGAGATAAGACTCCAAAGGAAAAGTAAATTGCTCAAAACTCTTACTTGCTAGCTTCAGAGATAAACTCAAACAACATAAAATGGAGGTTATAATGTGAGTAAGCCACACCCTTATGCAGGTAGATGTTAATCTGAAAAACTTGAGTTTAAGTACCAGCAAAATGTTAGGGCTATAAGTGACTTTGAAGTAAAATACAGTTCCACCTTTTGTCCCTCCCTTTGAAGTGGTTTAGCTGAAATTACAGCTTCCGTACCTGGTCTGTCCTCCTCTAACATAACACAACACACTGTTTGTTATCTCATAACTGATTGCTATGGAGAGAAGTGAGTCACAGAGAAATTATGATTTCCAAAGAGAAACCAACAATTAAAATCCTAGACATTATTAGTCACTCTAATTGAAAGTTGGAGAAGAATTGTTGAGTGCATCACAAATATGAAAATCCTCAGTAAATGTGTGACTAACTGCTACTTCAGAAGAATTTTAAGAACCAAAAGAAATACCATGCTACTTTTCTTTTTTTCTTTTTTTTTTTTTCCCGAGACAGGGTTTCTCTGTGTAGCTTTTGGAGACTATCCTGGCAAACTCTCTGTAGACCAGGCTGCCCTCCAACTCACAGAGATCTGCCTGCCTCTGCCTCCCGAGTGCTGGGATTAAAGGTGTGTGCCACCAATGCCCGGCCTCCCTGCTACTTTTCATAACAAAAATTGAACAAGTATCATCTTTTGTGATGGGGACTGATATAACAACTCAAGGGGAAATGTTTGCCACGTGTGAAAATAAAATGATTGCTAGGAAAAGCCCAGGGTATAGCCTTTAAAGTATTTATGTAAAGGCTTTGTCTCTGGTCCCTGTTTAAACCACCTTCAATTCGTCTGCATGTTTATATTAAGGGAAAGCTTCTTTGTGGTTTAGGAATGATGTACAGTAAGTTCACATGCTTGTTCAGTTTTTACTGGCATGGAATTTGGTGACAGCCTCTGTTGTACTTGTTTTCAACTCCTTTCCTGAAGTACTTAGTCTCCCATTGTTGAGAGCCTATCACCACTGCCCCCCAGAGTTTGTTCATGTGTTTGCTTGTAACAGAGACTTGTGATGTCACTCTGGCTCATCTAGTATTCTATTTGTTTGTAGACCAAGTTGGCCTCAAACTGGCCTGCCTCAAGTACTCATTGCTTTAAATTGCTGCTCTGTTTTCTACCTTCCTTTTCTCAGGAGTTGGCATTCACCTGCACATACAGAGTTCCAGGATTTTCACAGAAGGTAAACCTTAATTCCTGAGGCTAAACCAGTGACTGAATGTCATGCCTGAACTTCTTTAGTAGATTTAACTGACCAGATTATGTTTTTCTCAGGAATAGGAACAGTTAATGTTGGCTTATATACTGAGCCCCCTGGGCCTTCCTATATGAGATGTAGAAAAATTACAGAAAATTGGAAAATCTAAATGGAATTGTCTTAGTGTTCTTTTGGTGTGAAGAGAGGCCATGACCAAGGCAACTCTTACAAAAAGAAAGCATTTAATTGAGGCTTGCTGACATTCAGGGGTTTGATCCATTATTGTCACAGCGGGAAGTATGGCAACATGAAGGCTGACATGGTGCTGGAGAAACAGCTGTGAGTTCCATATCTGGATCAGCAGACACAGGAAGAGAGACACACTGGGCCAGGCTCGAGCATCTGAAACCTCAGAGCCCACCCCCCAGTGAAGCACGTCCTACAATAAGGCCACACCCACTAATAGTACCACTCTCTGGTGACCAAGCATTCAAATTTATAAGTTTATGGGGGTCATTCCTATTCAAATCACCTCAGAAATTAAGTAAAAAATTTACTTCAGGAAAAATTGCTTGTGAAGAGAGGAAATAAGCCAGGTAGTGCTACATGCCTTTAATCCCAACACTTGGAAGGCAGAGACAGGAAGCTCTCTGAATTTGAGGCCAGTCTGGTTTACAGAGGAAGCTGTGGGAGAGTCAGGACTACACAGAGAAACTCTTGTCCTGAAAAACCAGAGGGCGTAGCCAAAGATAAACTAGAAAAATTAGTCAGCACAATAGATTATACTATGCATTGTGAAGATCCTGTATTTTTTTTCAATACACCAAATAGACTAGAACATTATACACTATTGACTGGTGGGGATAATATGGCCTGATATTTCTAAGTATTATAAAGAATGCTCCCTATCCTGTAGCTGGATAATTGAGCTAGCATGCTAAATTAGAAATGAATTGGGAAGCCAACACTCTCAACTAAAAGTAAAATCCCAGAAGACTGGGCAAACAAGGCTTCA